ATGTGAAACACAAAGGGGTGATACCAATGTTGTTTATGGGAAATGTAGAGACAACATCTCATCAAATAAAAAGTGTTCCAAGGATCAAGAAGAAGAAGTCAGAGGAAGAAGCCAAGAGAGACATCAGCGTTGCTGTGCCCCCTCTTTCCGGTCACACGTGCCCACCAGGAGACTTGTTTTATCTTGTTTTGTTTGTTATCTTGCAAATGGTGAAATGGTACTTGGTACTTATGACTCATGACATACCGTTTCCCTTCATCAAATTTCATCTCAAATTAAGGCCAATAATTGCAAATAATGCTTTCAAAATTGATGGGATATATAATTCCTTTCGTTCTTGTTTTCTTGAGGAAGCACACTGGAGAGCTTTGCAAGAGACAACCAAGAGACCTGCCCTTTGGACATCACCGAAGTTAAAAGCCCACAAGAACCCTCAGTTCCTTCGCCTTCCCCGCCTATGAGTTCTGAGCAAAGACGTGCTGCTTTCCAACGACGTGATCCAAACGAGACTTCAGGCTCAGGTAAGGGCGGGTCGACAAGTGATGGTGAAAAGGACACAAGCGAAACCCCGGAAGAACTCCAAAAGTTGCGGGACTTAAAGTCGCAGAGCATGGACCCGAAAAAGGTGAAGGCTGATGACAACAACGCTGAATACTTTACAGATACCGATGGTGAGGATTGGGTGGGTGATGTAGTTTCGTGACAAAATTTATTTGATGTTTCAAAAGACTTTGGGCTTGAACAAAACATCATTTCAAATCCAAGAATCATATGTATATCGTTTCCGTTTTTGAATTTCAAGAAAATATCCATGTATGTGCACTAAGGTTTCCTACAGAAAGCCAGCACAGTCCACATGATTCACACAGCCCCGTAAAGGACAACATCGGTGTTCCTGTAACTCGGGAAGAGCAGATGAAGATGAAGAAGTCAGAGGATGGCAGATCCAAGGGTAGGGGCAGAGGCAGGGGAAAAGGGAAAGGTCGTGGCCGTGGGAAAGAGAAAGACTTGAGAGGTTCCAGTTCTAACCCAAGAAAACGCAGTGCATCTACCAATGGAAAGGAAAGTACCACAAAGAAGAAGAAACAGACAGAGACCGAGCATTGGGAATGGCAAGATTGGGCTGAGGAGTGGGATTCCCATTGGTGGAATGAGAACGAGGAATGGGACACTACCCAGTGGAACAAGTGGGACCAAGCAGCATGGCAGGACGGCAAGCATAGCCTTTACAAAGTCGCAGAGGGCAGCAACAGCACCCGCAAACGCAAGCATTCCGCAACTGCCCCGCATGAGAAAAAACCGAAGAAAAACAAACGTGTGAAGAGCGCAGGCTCAACCAAAGACAAGCAGCCACATGAAGAGCCAGAAGCAAGCAAGCAGCCACATGCAGAGCCTGAAACAACATCTGACAAGAAGCCAGCCAAGGGCAAGAAAAAGGACACTGCAAAGGACAAGCCGCACAAGTCAAAGAAGCATGATAAGAACAACAAGTCAAAGAGTGCCACCCCTGCGCCCAAGGCCTCCCCTGCCCCCAAAGCAAAGGTAGCACCAAAGGCAAAGGTTTCCCCGAGGGCGAAGGCTGCTCCCAAAGCATTGGCCATGCCCCCAATCCCAGCGCAAGACTGTGTGGCAGCTCAGGTTGAACAGTCCGAAGACTTTCAGAGAGTAACCAAGGTGTTGTTTGAGTTTGGGTCCACCTACAACAGACTTGAGGCCAGCCCCACCTTTGATGTAAGTGCCTGCAAAGACCAGCTCAAAAAGGTTACCACTGAGAAGTGTGAATCGGCCGAGTGTGGGTTCAATCTGTACTGGACTAGACCTGCTGTTGGGGTCAAAAGTCGGACACACAAGCGGGACTTCGCATACTTTGCCATTCATGACAATGGGATCAATGGCAAAGAAAACCATTGGGCTCGCATGGCACTTGCTATGAAATCAGCTCAGTTGTTGGTTTCCTGGTTGCATTTGTTTTCTTTCGCATTATTTAGTCAGACTTAGTCACTTGGTTTTTTGAAAGGTAAAAATCAAAGGGGCTAGGAACAAGGAAAGAAACATTCAGCTATATATGGATAACTTTGTATATATCCTTTACAAACCACATGCATATCCAACCCGCTTTTGATCCAAGGCTATGTATGTGGACAAATTGATCGCCTCCGACGAGAGGATTGGACGTGACACCCCGCTCGACATAACCACGAGCCCAGCAGTCTCCCAGGAAGGTGAAATGATCAAAATTGCAGCCAGGCGCGCCTATGAAAGAATGGGCCAGCAGGATTAGAAGTCTATTTTTGGATCATGTGGTATACTGCGCGTGCCATTTTTTGGGGCACCACATGTGCACTGGAGTGCCTGTGTTTCATTGCAGGGCAGTCAAGTCCGAAGTGACTTGCATGGGATGCAAGCCTATGCAGGCTTTAGATTTCTTGTGCTTAGAGTGGCGTTGAGATTGGCACTGAGGCCAACAAAATTAGGGGAGAGAACTTATACAATGGTTTGAAGAAAATAAAAACATCTCCACAAAGAACATATTATTTGTCGTGTATATATGTCGCATTTTATTCCACATGTTTCCCCAGTGACATGTATATCTCTACCCTTGGCCGTTTGGCGCAGTTGCAATAAATGACTGAAGGACTGACCCTTGAATGCCTCATTATTAGTTTCCCACAACATATAAAAATTGTATCCTGAGAAATATGCATTTTAAAATCCCACATCATTAATCCCAGCCACTGTTGTTTCCAACGGGGACAGTCCTGGAGCGATCCTCGAATGACACGGGGCCACCTCAAACAGCAAGGTGTTGCAATTTGCTGCTGATCAGCTTGGTTTCTACCATTTGTGCTGCTGTTGCAAAAAAAGAACACTGTGATCTTCTTGATGGCAGACTGTATGGCATATAATGGTTTCCCAGCAACCTTTCTTCCATGATTGGAGTTAAACCCAAAGTCTATTAAATAAAGAAAACACACATAATTTTTTGGTTGGAAAGATTTGCATATTAGACAAAAGACTGCTGATTGAATACGAGTTTTGGCCCCTCCGATCACTAGCCCCGGAGCTCAGGTCATGCCACCAAGGAGCTCAAAGGCTCGAGGTGGATACAGGGTTCGATCTTTGATCCTCAAAGGGAAGAGTTCCACCGGCATGTTTGTCACCAGTATTGAAAGATGGTGCAAGGGGAAACACACACACATGACAAATTGAATCATTACAGAACCCACCAATGATTTAACATTGAAATTTAGATATGAACATATATACTTTATATCTGGCCATGCAAGTTCAAGGGGGGCAGCTAGAGCGACATGGAAAGAGAAACATGAACAATACACATTGCAAACATCATCACATGACATGTGCCGGGCTATCTACATGTGCAAATTTATCAAATTTAACTATCACATTGAACTTCGAAATTTGGGGTGAACATGCGAACCAACATCGTCAGTTTTTAGAAGCCATGCGGGATTTGGATGCCTTGGTGTGGCGTCTTGGGAAGATGAAGGCCCCACGTGTCAGCCACTTAAAAAAACGTTTTTCGTCATGATGAATGGGCACTTCCAAGCATCATGGACTTTATAATATATTGAATGTTGCATGGTGCCTTCGACCTTCCTCTGAGGTACTGGTACTATGCATCATGTTGTTAGTCTGGACCTATGACACCAATGAGGACCTGAATAGAATTATTGTTAAAACAAACGGCTCATGTATCCCCACTGTCTTTGATGATGTTCATACTTACCCCATATCTTGGCTCTACTTCACCACATGTCCACAGGAGTTTGAGTATCTGGAATTCTATGCTGGACGCGGCAACTTATCAGCTGCGATGGCCGGTGCCAAGTACGTTGTCCGGAGCTTTGACATATTGTACAATCAGCAGGCAGCCGAAAGAGGAAGCAACTATATGGACCTCACACATAGTTCTGGTTTTGCGTACCATGTCCAGACAAATACAAAAGTTTCTTTGTGTCTTCTAATGTAACCCCAAAGTACCAAGTACTAACAGCAAAGCTTGAAGCACATGGGTTGCATTTACATAGGATACAATCTTAAGATGGATTCCCTGCTATGTCATTGTTCCTTTGACCCTGAATCATCTGTATAAATTATGTACCCACGCAACCAAATTTTAATGTGAATCTAAATCAAAGCTCAGGCTTGCCCTATTGGCAATATTACGCTGTCGGCAAGGGAACTTTGGAACCCACTTTGGATTGAAATGCAGCTCGCTGTGCCAAATGAATCGTGGAACATCTAGAAGATCAGCTTGCGCTTCCTATGGGTTTCTTGAATACGCCAGTGTGCAGATCGCAAACATTCTCATAGAAAGGACAGTACGGTGGTTGATGTTTGTTTCAAAGTCAAACTGAATACAAGCGCGTGCTTAAGAACCCTCTATCCAACCCTTTTAGGAACCCGCTGTAGTAGTGACCAATCCCATTTAGCCATCCCATCCAAGCTTCCAATCTCAGCCGCGGTGCAGGACGTCTCTGATGGTTCTTTTGGTCACCTGTCTTGGAGGCGTATGGACCGCTGAACAACCAGGTGGATCAGTTCTTGAGTTCTATCCCGCATGGAGGGCGGTGATGATGCAGATTTTCGAAGCTGGCGGTAATCAAAGTGTAACTTTATCTTCATGGTCAACATTTGTTTAAATAGTTAACAGTTGCAGTATGAGGTGTCATCTTTGTGGAACGCCTTGATTTTCATTTTGTTTTCCAAAATGAAATCGATTTTGAAAATTTGGATGTCTGAAAATGAGGTTGAAAATAAGGTGCTCTTTCTCCCCTTAAAATATAAAATGTTAAAGCCAAAAAGGGCACCTCATGTGGGGAAAATCACCCAACCAAAAATATATAGTTATATAGGCTTATAGCTCCCGGAAAACATGTGAGTGGGCTAAACTTTTTGGGGAACCAATGCAAGATCCGATCCTCTTATCAGTCTTACAGCCAAATATAGCCAAGGTGACAACTGTTCGGCGGTGGATGGGCCACTATTCAGCCGAGACCCCAAAGAGACATTGGGGTGCTGGCAACACGCCACTGATGAGCAAGCTCGACAAGGGTGTTCTACAGGGGTGGAAAAAGAAAACCCGAACAACAACACCAGTGGTGAAATACATAGATGCCCGAGGCGTCCAGAGGTACAAGGGGACCAAGGATCTCCGCCGGACGGAGTATCTGGATGCAAATAAAATGCAGATTGGTTGGCTTTTTCTTTCCATAATAAAAATTGTTAAACGAGTAAAATCAGGGATATTACGAATACTACATACATTTACATTGACTAGCTGGGGCTATAATGATTTCAACTCTCAAACCACCGTAGCTTTCCGGAAAAACCTTATCATCGAACAATTGTCGGAATTTACATGAGCCCCCAATTATATGTTATTTGGGGTAAAGGGAAATGCCTATCCTCCACCCCACTGCCCAGGGTTTATCCTGTTCCATTTGCCCGTGAAGTATTGAGCCTGTTCGAGAGCATGAAGAAATCACGGCGCGGCCAACCTGAGCTTCCAGACCATATCCCCACTGCCCTTGAAACTTTCCGGGATGCTGAGTGGGATGAAGACCCGCAGTTATGGCACTTTGCAGGCCTCGATAAGCTGTATAACTATTTGAGAAGCGCAAAAACATTGCGCATTCCCATGGAATGGAAACATGTGGTGCCGAAGTCCCTGTAAATCATCCACATGCATTTGGGATGGGGTTATGGCATTTCGTTGAATGGGTCCCAAAAATACACAGGAATTCCTTTGCGTAGGATCCACATTGGATTTTTTCATTTTTCTTTACCACCAAGAACACAACAACTGAAACGTAACATATTTTTGCGATTTTGGGAGTGAATTGTTCGGGTTTCTGTGAAACCCGTACTAAACCCGTAGTTTTCCCGTACTAAACCCGTACTAACCCATAGTATTCAATGGAATACCCCGGGTTTGTGTGAATACCCCAGGTTTTCACAACCCGTACTAAACCCGTACTAAACCCGTACTTTACCCGTACTAACCCGTACTTTTTTTATGGGTTTGCATGATCGGAAAATTGATGATTTTTGCTATCATTTGTCAAGCTTTTGTGATGGGACTTCAGCAAATTCACGGCACTTTTTGGCCATAATTTGGGAGCAACAACAGGTAGCTTCCAACCGTTTCCATGGTAGTCTGATCTACTAGTCAAACGCCATTAATTCGAAGGAATGTGGCTGTGGGATTACCCGCACATCAGTGCTCGGAATGGGATAAACATGATTTGAGGTACTTGTTCTTTTTGCTGTCTTGGAAGGTTGCAGCATTTGCCAATGGTACTCGTAAGAAGATACACACAGTTTATGATTAGATTGCCATCTGAATGAATTCATTTGATTATCGCCCGCAGCCATTTCTTTGAGAGGTGAAATCACGTGGCAAACCATGGCCAGCGTTGGTGGTTCCACCCAGGGTTGGGCCAGTTGCCAAACCCTTAAGGATGGAATTGAGTACTTGGATCAAGGTGGCACAGCCCCAGATGAATCTGAAGAAGCCATCCTGAAAGAACTTCAGGAGTGGGGATGTGCGGTTACAGATTTACCAACAACCTTGTAATGCCTACAATTTTTCTTATATGCCCCTTCATGCCCCTTTCATGCCCCTTTCGCTCCAGGAGCTTGATGCCAAGATTGCCGACGTGTCGAGTGTACCTGAAACCCCTGAGCAAAAAGCTCCTGAGGTTTGGCCCTCAAAATTCATGGGGGGCCTTGATGGTACAAAAGCTAGTCAATGAACAATCACAATGTCGTTGAGCAAAAACCGCTCCAATTAAAATACTGTCCAACTGAATCATTACCCCGCCCAATGTTGCCAAGAAACTCTTCCACCGACCAAAGGTTGAAGCGCCCAGCACCATTTCCTCTGCAGATACACAGCCGGCCACTTCCTCAGCGGAGAGCTGAAGCCGCTTGAGATTGGACTTGTGAAACTTTCCCAAGGATATACTCATACAGGTATGCTGCGCCATCATATTCATGTGTGTGTAGCACTATCAAATGTATGGCTCGTAAGTTTGTAAAACATCTCACGCATACGGGAAAAACACATTTTAGATTTTAGACATTCAACACCTGACACCTGACCGGGAATTCCAACTTTCACTATACAAAGTGAAAAGGTTTTCCTTTGTATCTCAAGTTCTGTTTGTGCGGCCAACGAGGCCTCTGAAGAAGATGTGGCTTTGTCGATGCAGCAAGTCAGGCAGGAAGGAAAGGCTTCGGATGCTGACCGGCCAAGTTATTTTTTCAATCCCGACTGCAAAACAAAACATCGCCCTTTTAATTTTCAAATCCACTATGGTATTGTTTGTCAGTTTGTTTTTTACTTTTCTAAGTTTTGTTTCGGGGCGTTTGAGGTTGAGACTCCTGTTGCTAAGACACCGGTTGCTACACCTGTTCGCTCTGCAGCTCCAGAAGATTTGAAGAACCTCCGACCACCTTCGAGTCTTGTTAGCGGCCCTGGCCAACCGTCAAGCCAACCTCTAGTGGAAGCCCAGCCCCGGGTTTCAGCTACTGGTGTCGAAACACTCACAGAAAACCAAGTGCCCAAGCCAGTTGGTGTGACTGAGCGGAAGGCCCAGTCTTCAAAACCATGTATAGGTTTTGCTGACATAATCATTGGGACATAGGGCTTCAAAAAAAAGTTCTTTCAATATATTATATATAATATATATATTGGTGTTCTTTCCTACTGCTTCTAATTCCTGATTTGCCTTCCCTGCAGTTGAAGTTGCGCTTGGCTGCAAAAGCCCGCATCATGCGGATGGTGAAGGCCAAGGCCAAACGCCGTGATTTGGAAGTTCCAGACTGGGTCAAAGAGGCTTGGGGTACTGGAAACAAGAACGAGATAGCAGATCTCTTGTGTTCCAGCAACTTCCAGAAGGACTGCACGTGCATTATTTTTACAACTCATCATTGGTGTTATCCACATGAATAACACAATTTACTGTAGTGACTGATATATTCAACTATTGCCGACATTGATTATGGCAGAGCCATGCTCCCATGTTTAATATATGATTCCTGGCGTCTCACATCTATCCAGGAAGACTTTTTCAATTCCCTTCACATCCTTGTCACGAAGAAGAAAAAGGTCTCACTGACAATCGAAGAGGGTTGGTTCTCAGAGACTGAGCTTCGGGATGAGATTGGTTGGAAACAGTTCCTGCCTTACTTAGTTCCTTCTACATTTGTTCAATGTTCACCTTGTGGGTATATGTCTCGACTCGGTGTTTTGTTGTTATGTGAGAAATATGTGAAATGCATTATTTCCTTCCAGGGCCAAAATCGATGGAGCCAAAGCATATTGTATGAGCTTGCCGGAGACACATGTGAGGAGACCACATTGTCATATTGGTGCAATATATTGCAGTGGAATGATTCGGAATGATCTTGTTTAAAAAAACATTCAACATCATGCGGCGCAGGAAGAACATGTATGACAACGAGACAGAGTACTGGTGCGTGATCAAGGAGTCGGGAAAACGCAAGGAAGAGCAGAGTTACGAAGAAGTTCACAAACGCCAAAAACAGGCCACAACTGACACAAGTATGCATACATGCTCACTGCATCTGTCACCAATATCTTTTCAGAATGAATATTAGCAAAATAGTGTGTTGCCGGCATCCACCCCTGTGTCTGGCAATGCCCCTTATCAATCTCTTTGGGGGGGTGTGAGCTATCCCGTTTTACTCCTGTATTCAGGCCACTGGTGAGCCTACCTGGGATTTGGACAAGAGCTTCAGTGCAATGCAGTCTTACGAGGAAAGGGCCACGCAGCAGGAGAAGGTTGGTGGACCGAAGCCTTCTGAAACCAACAAGTTCACCCAGGCAAGACAATTTCATCATATTCAATGGGTTTTCCAAGTGAACCAAACATGTATATATCGCCAACTTGTCCAGGTTTTCTACATGGTGGAATAAAGCTTTGCTTGTGTTTATCCTTTCATCCGGTAGGTCAAGGATGCTTTGGCTCGTTTCATGGAGTCTATCATGGCAAAGACTGGTGCTATGAGAAAGTTGATCCGTGAACTTAAAAGCCAATATTCTGACCCGGCTGCTGCGCAGCTTCTTGGTGACATTTGAATTTACATGCATATCAACATATATCAACAAACGTGCACCTACTTCGATTCAACTTAGTACTGAGGCTTCAGACTTGTGTATCATAAATCCGAGCCACACAACATTGGCCCAACTTCAGGTGCATAGTGACACTGGAAACCGAGATCAAGAAGGTCGATGCCCAGTATGACTTATGTAACGAAGCATGGGCCCGGGGTGAGGCTGATAGATTTGCAACGGATGAGTTACTTGACTTGCTAGTAAACCAAACCATGCACTCAGATCATTTGGGGATAAGAACCATGTCCCAACAAAGGCTTTCTTACATCTCGATTGTTTCCAATCAGGTTTGTGAAGGAGGCCGAGTCCAAAATGAAAGCTGCTACATTTGTGTTGGAACCTTAGATACCCAAAACAATTTGCCTGTTTATTGCCTATGCTGGTATATTTGATACAAAGCACTATATTTAGAATCATATATAACAGTTGTCAAATTGAGTATATAAAGGGATGTGTCAGTCAGTAATTTGGACATGCAGGGGTTTATGTTCCACCATCCTTTCCCCTCAGGTGCAGTAAGGCGGCGGCTGCAGAGCTGAAAGTGAGGACAGCCGCTGGTTGGTCCTGCAATGGTGCAACTTTTACATCGGGGTAAACAAATCCAATCTGGTTTTGAGTGAGATATTCTTTCAGTAAAATGTTTCCACCCGCTTCCAGGAATGCGAAGAAATACTATGACAAGAAGGCCAAGGGAAGTGACAAGCCTGAGGCGAAGGCAAAGGCCGCTCCGGATGCCAAAAGAAAAGCATCAGCAAGGAAACCAAAGGCTTGAGTCTGAGCTATACATGCTCTAAGGGGGTCTCGTGGTGCGAGTCAGGTCCCAATAATTGCCAATTATATAATATAATTATAATGTATTATAATGTTATGTCATCAACTAGCATTCTTTGGACAGTATATAAACCGAAGACCCTATATTTTTGTTTTGTGTATCATACAACATGTTTGTTTTCATCCGTTGAACCTGATGCACCTTTTTCGACCCAGGGTGTCAGAACACCCTGGCCAATCAAATCTTACCGTAGCTACCGTAGATTTCTCTGCGGGCAGCTCTCCTCGTCGTTGATCTCCAGGGGACGTAGTTGAGTTTCAACCTGCAGTGGTGCCAATCACTCAAAGCAAGATGTCCACGGTGGAAAATTGTGTTTACCCGCATGCTTGCCAACGATGGACACTTGTTGATTCATGAGACTTCATGTAAAAACATTCCTCCGTGAAAACGACTTCCCTTGTAGTGATCCCAGCTCTACCAAGTAAGTTTCAAGATCCAAACGCCTATTTTTTTTTGGTGTCATGGGATTTCTTCAAAAGGATCCTGCTCCAACTTTCAAGAATGCACCTGCAATTTCAAAACGCATATGGCGCATATGAGTTGATATAAAAAGGAATATTAGCCCACTGGTCTATAATAGTTTTCTTAGGAGTCTATAATAGTTTACTTGGGATGATAAACTACAGCTCCGGATATTGAAATATATATTTGGTATAAATCCATTATCATGTCACCTGAGCCGGTTCCACCTGCCTGCCAGGTGTGAAACCTGGTCGTACGGTTCGAGGCCTAAGTGCGGGCATTGGCAATGGGGCCGGGCCCTCAATCCAACAGAGCAGTGCTGAGACATGATCGTTTTTGAGAGCCACATGGGTTAACCACCTCCAATCTTTTGCCATTTCATTTGGTTCAAAGACATTGCCTTTGCATTTGCTCAGATATATGGTGGTCACAAAATGGGATCACACGGAAAGCCCGGAAGATGAACTGCTGGATTTGTTGACCTGCCATCGTTCTGAGTCTTGGTCTGTAGTATATGTTTCACATCTTCATTTATTTTCTCGTCTTGTTTTTTTGGGTGGATTTGGATGTAGGAAATCAACCATTGGGAACCAAGGGCAACATATCCGCCTCAAATTATTGTTTGAAACTCCATAGGAAAGCGATGGTGCGTTTCCGTGGTCTACCCGGTCAAGGTCTAGATCTAGATCCTGTTCAACTGAGCATTACGATGCTGCTGCCTGCAAAACCTTTACACCAACTGCTCCCGTGAAACAAGAACTTGATGATGGTCATTGCAAGTGTTTTGATCAGGCCAATTTCGAGAACAGAGCACCGGATGACCGGACCAATTCTGAGGAGCAAACATCTAGCTTGCCCATATCTTTCAAGCTTCCTCCTGCGGAGGCGCTATCTGGACATGTGCTGAAACATGCCTGTGGACAATTGGAGACACTTTTTCGTAAGCATTCTCCACTTATCTTCAAGATAGGAGTGACACATGATCATGTGTTCAGATGGACCAACGAAACCTACGGGTACCAGTACGCCAGGGAGAAGTGGGCACACATGCTCGTACTCTGGATCAGCAATGAACCATCGGGCCCATGCATGCTTGAAGCTGCCCTGATAGATAAGTACAAGAGTAGCTCCGCATTGACTTACATTTCTTTGCTGAGTACAGGTTCCCTTTCTTTCCAAATGAGCCCAAGAAAACTATCAGGTTCCAATACTTTACAGCTTAACCACCAATTTAACACAAACGGTTTCTGTACCGCTTAACCACCAATTTAACACAAACGGTCGAAACAGTAGTTGAGAAGGGCTTGCAGTTGACCGCGCTTATCCCAGGTAGTCCTGGGAACAAGAACATCAGGCTTGGTGGCGATACAGCTCCATCATGGACCTCACAGCTCGACCGCTTTATGACGTATGTGGTGTACAGGAGTTTCAAACACCCACCACCAATTCGAAGATGCAACCTTGAAAAAGTCTGAAACTGTTTCACCAAGATGTCACAAGAAACATTGGGGGTCTGAATTTCAAAAAGACAAATCTTGAGTGAGCGTTGCATTGCTGCTGCATCAATGCTTGCAACATCCACAACTTCTCAGTAAATGGGCGGATGATAAAACCCCTCAAAAAATACATAGTATATAAATATATTGAGTGAGATTCTTGCAGGTTGGATTGTTCGTTTTGCACACCAACACCCTTTACGCTTATTTGTTCATTCATATCGCCCGTTGCCTAGGCCACATGCTCATCAGCTATACGGACAGCAAAGGACTTTGTCAAGGATGTTGGTGAGTCTGTGGCTAAAAGATCTGGCGGGTTAGTTCAGCTAGCGCGTTGCGATGATCGGCATAACTCAGAAAGGGATGCGCAAAGGGTCTTAGTGAACAAACTTGGCTTGGCACTGGATGTAAAAATCAGCTATTTACCACTGGAGAAAGATCGACCTATTGTCCCACACTTGAGACTACGGGACTGGGCGCAATGGATTGTTGACAAAAACCTCTGGTTTATGTTGAGCGGACTGACTGCACCAGACGAGTCCAGAAGTGCGACGCAATGGAAGAAATTTTGGGACGCCTTCAGAGATATGAATCCCAACCATTCCGTTTTCACCAGGGCTGATAGGGGAGACCTTGACCTCCGCTACACAGCTGGGATTTTGATCCACGGTGACGAAGGTAGAAGCCGTCGTCGAAGTGCCATTATGGTGCTGTCATGGCATTCAATTCTAGGTAGAGGAACAGGACCCCAACATCGCTCTGCCAAGACTGCTAAGTTGAACAAGATGTACGACAAACTCCTTCCAAATTTCATGGGTCATAGCTATACCACTCGGTATCTACTGGCATGTTTGAACAAGGCAGCCTACAACTTTGGCAATGAATATATCTTTGATGAGATGATGGAAGTAATCTGCGGAGATCTTGAATTTATGGCAACTACGGGTGTGCGCAACAGATACAACCAGCGATATTGGATGGTTATGTTACACATCTGTGGAGATTGGCCATTCTTGAGCAAGAGTGGAAATTTGACAAGAACATTCAACAACATCACCAAGAAAGCAGGTGCCAACAGGAGAGAGGCCCCAAAGGGCATTTGCCATATTTGCAGGGCAGGACAGGATGATGTTCCATATGAGCAAATACAAACACGACGTCCTGTGTGGCTTCAAACTGTTCACACCCAGAATCCATTTGCTACAGATCCTCCATTCCTTCGCTTGGATCATGTACCTAATCAGGCTGCTGACATTTGGACTTTTGACCTTTTTCATTCTTTTCATCTCGGTGTTGGCCGCAACTTTGTTGGTTCTGTTCTCGCTATGTACTCTCAACTTGAGTTGGCTGGAAACGTCGAAGAACGTTTTGAACTTTTGAGTGATCGCTTTAGATCCTTTTGCTCCCAGTCCAGACTTGGTTGTGTGCTGAAAAGAATTACGAAGGAGTCCATTCAATGGCCTACTACTGGGTGCTTTCCATCAGCCGGATGGCACAAAGGTGCTGTGACTTATGCCCTTATGAAATTCATTGAGCACAGGCATCTTACTGAAGATTTGTCTGCTGACCCTTTGTTGCCTCTTGCTGGTGAAGCCTGTGTTGCCGCAAACAGTAGTATCAAGCAAATGTTCGAGTCAGGTGTGTTTCTAGATCCTGATGAGTCTGGTTCAGTGGGTGGTCAGGGAATGCGATTTTTACGACGATACTCACAGCTAGCTTTTGAGGCCAAAGAAGCAGGACGCGCATTATTTATTATAATGCCGAAGCATCACAGTTTGCACAAGATGTTTCTCAAATTGATTCACGCTTCAGAGGAAGGGAGACAAACTTTGAACCCGATTACTTTATCGGTACAGGAAGATGAGGATTTCATCGGGAAACCCTCAAGATTGAGTCGCCGCATAACAAGTAGACGGCCTCTACTAGTAAGACTCATGACCCGGTACTTACAAGCTGTCTATGACCAGTATGTTGCAGATGGATTTATCATCCGCCCAGTTTGACTTTGGATGGTTTCTAAGAGCCTGGCAGTACGGCATAGTGAGTCACATTGGGTTTGCGCTGAGAAAAAATGGCTATCAGGTGGCCGGGAGATGATGGTATCTGGATCAAAAATGAAAACCTCGGGTTTTCACTCCAAACCTCGGGTATTCGCACAAACCCTGAGAATTCATAGGTTTTGGATTTTCAAGGTATATATACAAACAGTATATATGCCCTCTGGTAATTTAACATAGCTATTGAAAATGCCAAGTTATTTAATGGGAAAATCAACGATTTCGACTGGGCCATGTTGGGACTAGGATGACCCTAGAGTGCTTATCATCGCACCTGGGTATGGGTTGTATCCTCTGGCTACGTTGTCCCATGATCTTTCCACCTCAAAAATGGGACATTGACCTGCCAAAGGACAATAAAACAACGAGAACACGATGATTGTTTGGTCCCTTTTCTGGTCCTCATTTTTCATGTTCTTGAGGAACCCATGTCCACATTATACATCACCTGTTGGTGGTTTGGAACCATGGAATTTTATGACTTTCCATTCAGTTGGGAATTTCATAATCCCAACTGACGAACTCATATTTTTCAGAGGGGTAGGTATACCACCAACCAGATCATTGATCCATGCGACAATTTCTTTCCCATCGAAATGGGCAAATTCATCGCTGCTTTGGGAAGCTCAGGTCTCTCCCAGTCGGTGCAGGACATGTCCGACATGTCCTGTGGAACTACTTTCGCCGAACATTCAGATGTAATCGATCACAAGAGGCATAGAATTGGAATCCTGATTGGTGGTCATTTGCTGGGTCCCACTTGCTCAAAACTCTGGTTGGTGGTTTGGAACATTTGGATTATTTTTCCATTCAGTTGGGAATTTCATCATCCCAACTGACGAAATCATATTTTTTCAGAGGGGTTGAAACCACCAACCAGAATGGATTGGTTACTTTCTCGCTGCAGAGAGTTATTCTACGAGCTAAAGCTTAGTTTTCTTGCAGGGTATTTGGGGTTTGGCATATCATATGTAGATATCGGAGGATATCTGGTTGGTGGTTTCAAACATGTGTTTTTTCTATATATTGGGAATAGTAACCCCAACTGACCAATATTTTTCAGAGGGGTTGAAACCACCAACCAGGTTATAGATGTTATAGGGTGCTTGTTTTCCCTTCATGACGACTCAAGTCATAAACTGACACTATGACTGGTGCTGCATGTGGGATAAGGTATAGACATTCATACAGTAAATCATTTGGTAAGGATGCCAAGGTCCATTCTGTGCTACCTCATAAAAGAAGATTGAGTTTTCAGTTTTGAGAATGATACAGTATTATATATTATACTATATATGGGGAGAGAGAGAGAGAGAGAGAGACAGAGAGGCCGGAATTACATAGGAACTACAAATCCACCATATTGAGAAAACACTAAAAAAATGTAAATATATGTAAATATCCCTTCCTCATGGAAAATTATAGATATTCTAGGTATGAATACCCCTTCAGCCGGGGCACCACAATTCCTGGATTCGCTGCTGTGAAGACCAGGAGAAGAAGTCGCAATCATCGCAACGCTGCTGCTTTCCTCTGAGGGCCCAGGGCACTTGTGTCACTTTAAGTTAAGAGTCTACCCTTCTTATCCAATCATGTATGATATTTGTCCAATCTAGTACTCATTTCGACCCATACCCATTGTGCAACCCGCCAAATCGTTTGGTTTTAGATGGATTTGATCGTTTGCAACCTTAGTTTATTCTTCCCCTGCTTGTGTGTGTCCATACCCATTAGGACTTTGATGTGCGACGCGAGTGCAAAGAAACTTGCCGACGAAAAGGGACATGCGTCGCATGCGTTGAGTTGGACACTCTTCAGTGGTTGGTTTCAAAGAGGTTACATTTTGGAAACCAACCCCAAGTATGTGTACATACTATGTATAACCATATCTCTAGAATACATATATATTTATACATATATTTATCATATATAACATGTATTCACTCCTTAGACTGCAGATCCCAAATCGACATCCAGGGAAGAATCGCTGGAGGTGCAAGTCTCCCAAGGAGCTTGGCGGCCAAGACTCAAGTCCCAAAAGACCCACAAATTGAGTGTTATCTTTTCTTGCCTCTCCATTTTTTTGACACTCAATCACATTACCCCTATAAGTATATATATATATAAATTGTATATACATATGTATGTATGAATGTATACATATTAAATGCATACATGTGTATACATAGACAAAATCACCCATGACTCAAAATCAGGTCTCAGACAATATCCACCAGGAATCCAAATTTGGGGCACATCTCAGCAGAAAGAGGATATGCTGATCAAGTATCCACCGCAATGCGGCACATGTCAGAAAAACAAAACTTGTTTTCCGAATATCTCACTTTTCTGGACATACAGACAGGATCCACGTCTATTTTTGTTTGTCTAGAAGCATCGTGGAGTTCCAAAAGGGGTTGAGACAACCATCAGCTAGCACTTGAGATGCACTGCACATTCCACGACATTCAGAGGAAGTTGATGCATGGTTTGCCGCGTTGCATCGTCCTTTGCACCGCACTTAGCGTTGCTGAATCTTTGGGAAGACGCTCGGTGTTTGGTCCAAGAAGGACTCTGAATCAACACGGACACATGCGTTAAGGGCAAGTGAGAAGTTGAAAACCCGGAAAGATGAAGTATGGTTCAACCAGGGACAGTTCAAAGAAATATGATAGATCTGATAGACGACCACATTAGAAATGATAGTTACCGGCTACCCGCCATGAACCATGATTTGATCTATCCCGAGTCGTCGATGCTCAGATGCTGCGACAGCCACCAAGCCATCTGTACCGAAGTGTTGCTGAAGTTTGTTTCCAGAAGACTACTAATATAGTCCTATTAAGCATGCATGTTTAGGTTAAGTCAATTGTGCTCACTTATAGACTTACGTTCTTGTCTTCAGCAGATGATGTCAGCACTTCTTGGGGGACCAGCTTTGAATATCTTTGACTTCTTGGAAGTCTGAGATGTCATGTTTCTTGGGTTAGTGGTTAGTGTATAATGTCAGCCCTGGATTAATAAACCCCAAACGGCTGTTTAATTGGGGGGTACCTTAAAAAAGTATCAGGTGAAATGACTATTGGAGGTGTACTTCCTTAATTGTCATAAACCATGGATCTATGCATATTAACCACTATTAACCACTATTAACCACTATTAATCATGGTTTAGCAAAATCCGGGGTTGACATTACCACATCTGTCCGAGATCTTTTTAGAGATTTTCTACAGCTGTGCCGCAGAGCATCGCTCAGGAGTCATCCCTAGGGGCGCCTCCCCGCTTCAGAGCATGGCGAAACCATCAGCCGCTTGTAATACACCAACCATGTGAAACCAGAGGGGAAGATGGAAAATGGGAGGGCTATTTTTCGACCCATTTTCCATAACAGTGATGTATGGAAAATGATGATTCGCCATAGCTAGCCTATTTTCTGTACAAAAGCCCAATGAGATTGCGGAAGGATGGCAAATAGATGACATTATTGTAGTCATGGAAAAGAACCGCAAATTGATACAAGTTGTCCATATCCTTTTTGTTGGGCAAGTTTGAGATTAGAATGTTCATGAACCATGGAGATTCCTGAGGCAAGCTCCAAGATATGGTTGATCATGGTTGCATCGTCTGTTAATGTCCCATAATACCCAATAATGATATGGTCAAATATTATCCCTTTATATCCCAGTATATACATATATATATATATGTGTATGTATCCCATTACAAATATATATATATATATATATCCCATTGTATCCCATTCATATCCCTAAGGCAACTTCCGCCCAGCCTCATGCGGGTACTACTGGTATCCCATTATAATCCATTACATAGTTTAAAATAGCACAAATATGCCACAATATAGTCATACGGTGGATGGAAGAAATCCTGCACCAGTTGATAGGTGGCTTATCCCATTATTTACAGGGTTTCAACCATCTAAGGTGATGCAGGATTTCTTCCATCCACAGTATGTACGAGTGAACGAACTCACTATAGCCCGTGTGGATGTACCTGCTTCAGACAAATTCAACCGATCTCATCTATGTCATGTCCTCAATGATATGGCTATGGATCAATACCTATTAATACCATTTTTAGTGGGATAAACATCCATTTACCAGCTATTTTGATGTGAACTACAGGGGTACAAGGTTTTGACACACTGCCATATCACCATGATATTCTCATGTGTGTCATCACTATTTCGTTGTATCCCCTCGCATTCGCATCAAGCCCAAAGATCGGCATTTTTCTCGATGAATTTACGGGAAAATCTTCAGGAAACTAATCAATCAATGGATTGTTTTCAGGAACATATAGGAAACATGTTTTCCCTCATCTTGAGGAAATACAGTTTCCATTATTTCAGGAAACAATGATTGATGTTCTCCTCACATATGGAGGTTTCCTCGATTCTTCAGCCAATTCTTGGAATTTTTGCAGCATCCCTTCATCACCCAGGTACCGTTATCTATCACTTCCACTGGCCCCACAAGCACGGTGCGACCAGTGTTGTTCTTTGTGTCCCTTGGGCCTGAAGTTGGACTCGAGAAAATGGCCTTGTAAGAAATGATAGGGGAATAATAGCCAACCGACTTGGATACAATTTTATATGATAGTGTATGTGATATGAAAAACTATATGAGATGGATCTGTCAGGAAAAGATGCGTTGGAGTTACTGGTGTTGTTGATGTTCAAAACTTAGAGGAAAATGAAGATCAACCATGAGATTGTGGGTACCTGGTTTGAGACAAACACAATCGTGGTCCTAGTGGTCAGGGCTTCAGATGGTGGACATTTGGTCGACCTAACAATGCAAGGGGATCAAAGCCCAAGGCTGTTTCAAAACTCAGCACAAGGCACTCCTGAGGAGTGAAACCAGTGATATTTGGCTATACCTTCTGACTTCTACCACTTTAAATTGCTCATCTGATAATTTTGCTTTCATGGCTATTGGCTGAATTGGCTGCAGATCAGAACCTGGCTGAAGCAAAATCCGGCAGCCACAACCCAAACATCCTATGAACCACAAGATGATCCCATTCTATTTGGTGCTTTCCACAGCAGATCAGTTTGGACTTTTGGGGATTTGAAAAATGCATCATGTGGTTTTCTCTTCAAACATAAGGAACCATATTTTGTGTATCAACATATATTGAAAAGTCCGGTTGATGGTTGAATATGGTACCATATATATATATTATATATATATGTACAGTACCATATAATACCATATATATATATATATATGTATACACTATGAATGTATATATATATATACATGTATATGTATGTGTAATATCCCCATATATTCTTCAATCATATTTTTGTTGTGTTTGGTTTCATAGTTTCCCTTTCATAGTGGCCATATCACAGGGTGGCCATCTGCGCCCGCGCGGGAGAGTTCGCCACGTCCCAGGCACGGCTGGCCAGATGATGCGAGCGTCTGGCGTGCGCAGGTCGAATACTTCAAAACGAAGTATCACTGTGCTTCGGTGGGACAGATGTGGTTCTTTAATAGATTATATATCAATGGCCATTTCAGGAACCTAAATTGGAGGTACCTACCATATATAAGGCCTATGTAAGGGGATATACCACCCAAAAATGGCCTTATATGGTACAGTACCTCTATCTTAGGATCCTGGAGTTCCCATTGAATATATATAGCTGATTATAGGATTCTAACTGATCGCTACAAGATGGCTAGGGATTGCAATGGTGTTTAGGCCACTTGTGTTTTTTTTTTTTAATGAATCATCGTGAATCCAACAATCATTGCATGGGGTTAGTTGTTTCTGTTCTTCTATAGTAGGTAATGTCATGTATATGGTCCCTTGTCGTTGACCATGTATTTGCATTGTTGCTTGCATCCCTCGAATTTGATTGCATCACCACATTTTGTGGTTTATTCCATGTCTTCCTGTTTATATAGATACAATATGTACAGTATATGATGGTCTCGAATCCAATTTGGATTAAATTGCGGCAACACCATTTGTTTATCCCCATGATAATTTCGCACGCTGCTAGTCTTTGAAAAAATATCACCTTTATCCCTGTTTGTATTCGATTGTGTGCAATTTTGTGTGCTGTCGTTTACTCTCATTTCTTGGTTGCATCATTTGTGTTGCCAGTGAAACAAAACTCTCCAGTTGTTGTGATATGCTTTGATCAAATCTTCATGCTGGTGGGTTAGACCGCAATATGTGTGAAATGAATCATTGCTCCCGTTGTTGTTTCTGAATTCCTAGGGCAACATCTGTATCTATCTCCATCAACCCCCACAACATGGTGGGAGCACGCCCAAAGTAGATAGAACCTCTTGACTTTGAGGTAAAAGTCCTCGATCATGTTCAGGAGAGAGGTTTCTATCATTTTTGGGGACTACAAAACCCAGGAGCACCTGACAAGACTATACAACATGGCTAAGCCATGATTTAGCCCATGTAAAGCTTGGTCGCAAGGATGCCCATCATGTCAGTATGCCTGATAATGTGCCCAACCTTCACAGTGACCTCAAGTGGGTATGGATCGTCAGAATCAAAAAATGGATTCGAAATGATTCTAATTTATTTTGAATTAGTGTTTGGTGGTTCTTCCAGATAGATATAGATAGACAGACAGACAGGCAGACAAATAGATAGACACATACTTAGACAGATAGATAGACAGACAGACAGACAGATAGATATATACAACCCCCAGAGGGATCATTTCAGATCCCAGTTGTCGATTGGTTTTCTGAAAGCTTGACTCCGTCAACAGTCGTTGGTTGCAGGAAGGGTTTCTGCCGTAGATTCCCTAGATGGATAGCTTGGTGTTTAATTAGGTTCAGTAAGATGTATGAAAGATATGGGGGGTTCCTAAAATAGGGGTACCCCAAATCATCCAAGTCATTAGACAAGTTTAGTATTGAAACAACCATGGTGACTTGGGGTACCCCCATTTTAGGAAACCACTAGCAGTCAGAGGGATGTCCAAACACAAAACCAGCAGACATAACTGGGGAGAAACCTTACTCTACCAATCACTTGGCTGTCCTTATCCATCCCAGTCATTATGACCAGAGTAATTATCAAACAGTTTTATATGGCTTATATTAAAGGTTTATAGTTTATAGGATTTTATAGGGTGTAAATCACGTATTAAATACTTACAGTAAGCAAATATAGCCGTGGTATGGTATCCCCCACTTACAATATCTTACAACTATAAATCCTTTAGCAACTGGGATGCACATCGCACAGTACCACCACCATTGCTGTCATCACCTCAGGTAAGTGCGTCACCATGCCGCACTTCGGCGGAAGAGAGATGTCCTTCCGCCTTGGGCATCGGGAGGAGGCGATGGGGCTAAGCCGGCTAAGCGACCAACAGACGTTGGTTTCGGGTGAACCGCGTGGGGCTGGTTTCAATGGGGATGCGTAACCATTGTACCTTAATCCAACAGTCACACCCACATATACTGCCGCGACTGCGACTGTGATGTTGCCAAACAGGGGGCCTTAGTGATTTGGTTTGTTTATTCTGGGCAAATTACAACGACCTCACTGTTCTCCCGAAGCCTGGAATCATGGTTAATAACAGGAATCATGCCAAAATGGCAGAACTTTTCAGGTTAGTGAATTAATATAATTTGCCCACATATATATATATATATATATATGAAGCTGAATTAACTGGTTTATCATCTGTTTAGTCTGTTTAGTTGTTTCCCACAGTCAGATTTATTTCCATTTGAAAAAAGTTGGAAGTCATGAATGGAACGTATTCACACTGTTTCTCGTTCACGCCTCTCACGGCGGTGAGAAGGTGAGAGATGTTTTTTTCCAGAGATACCCTCTGATAGACTGGGATTTCAACTGCAAACATTGGGGAAACTGATAATGGGATAGAATGGAATATGAGTTGGATATTATATAATGTATATAATATTGGATAATGTTTTAATATTGGATAATATTGGATAATATTGGTTGTAGTTATAGTTGAGGCCTGCCGCAGCCCTTGAGTCACATGCAGCACGGCTATCGAGGTTTTCTGGAAAACCCACCATTTATAGATGATTTTCCCATTCAAATGTCCATTTACTTCGGAGATTTTCCAGCTAGCCATGTTTCTTACCGAGGTGTGTTTTTTCCCGGCAAAGCAAATGAAACGGGGATGTTTTGGAAATGTGGTTCCAAAGTACAGATGTTTCCCAGAAACAATGATTGAACCAAGGAAAATTGGAGAATTACCGACACAAGATGGATTTCAACAACCAAAACGGGGGACGAGGATATGTCATTCCAAACTTTTGTGATTTTCCTCACCTCTGGCTGGGTCCTTAGTTGTTCGCCCCAAAAAAATGCAGGCAATGCTCAAACATAGGGTATAGCGGTATAGCGAATGCCCCAAAGCAGTTCCCATCCTAGTGGAAGCAACAAACGATTAGGATGCTATTGTTGTTGTTATGTTTAAAATTTATCAGAGTCCAAGTGTTTCAATTTCGTCAGAGTTGCCAATTAATGTTGCCACTGAATTTGGCAGTGATTTTCAGACATGACTTGACCTCAGCCGTTCGAAGGCAACTGACAGAGCTGTCATGAGCGTCCACAAGTCCTATCAAGAGCCATAGCAGAAGCAACAGATGATATATGTACATATAATATATATATATTTATATTTATTTATTTATTTGGTTGATTTAAAATCACCATGACTAGATGTTGAATACAATCTACTGATAAAATATGCAAAAAAAGATTGTGTCTTGCCAGGTATCGCCATGGCTGATGGCTACGTGGAGTCCGGCCGTAGTTCGCTCATTGATAACTTCGATCTCCATGTGCACTGCCTTAATGGTGAAGAATTCATGCTGCGCCTGAGTCCTTGGACTTTGGGCCGGGACGTGCGCCAGATGGTTTCGGAGCGACTTCCGACGAAGAAGGGTGCAAAGCTGGCGATCTACCATCTCACGACACCGTTGATACTCGCAAAATCATTGCAGGAGCAAGGCATTTCAGGGAAGACAGAGAGATTGTCATGTACTTATGTTCCAACAGACTTATATGCTGCGTGGTGTTACCTCCAAGGATTCCAAGTCTTTGACGAAGAGTTTGCATTGGATGGGATATCAGAGATAAGAATGAGAAGAGGTCGCACCTATGTCCAGCATTTAGGTCGCCTCCCCAAAAGCCTGGAAAAAAGGACTTTTGGTGAGGCGTTCAACCAAAGCCTTGAACGAGTGACTTTGCCGGGCAACTTGCAAAGTCTGACTTTTGGTGATGAGTTCAACCAGAGCCTTGACCGAGTGACCTTGCCGGGCAACTTGCAAAGCCTGACTTTTGGTGATATCTTCAACCAGAGCCTTGAACATGTGACCCTGCCGGGCAACTTGCAAAGCCTGACTTTTGGTGATGGGTTCAACCAGAGCCTTGAACGAGTGACCTTGCCAGGAAACTTGCAAAGCCTGACTTTAGGTTATGAGTTCAACCAGAGCCTTGAACGAGTGACCTTGCCAGGAAACTTGCAAAGCCTGACTTTTGGTGATATCTTCAACCAGAGCCTTGAACATGTGACCCTGCCGGGCAACTTGCAAAGCCTGACTTTTGGCGATAAGTTTAACCAGAGCCTTGAACGAGTGACCTTGCCGGGCAACTTGCAATGCCTGCATTTTGGCGCTAGGTTCAACCAGAGCCTTGAACGAGTGATCCTGCCGGGCAACTTGCAATGCCTGATTTTTGTCGGTGATTTCAACCAGAGCCTTGAACGAGTGACCTTGCCAGGAAACTTGCAAAGCCTGAAATTTGGAGATGGGTTCAACCAGAGCCTTGAAGGAGCGACCTTGCCGGGCAACTTGCAAAGCCTGGCTTTTGGCAATATCTTCAACCAGAGCCTTGAACGAGTGACCTTGCCCGGCAACTTGCAAAGCCTGACTTTAGGTTTTGAGTTCAACCAGAGCCTTGAACATGTGACTTTGCCGGGCAACTTGCAAAGTCTGACTTTTGGTGATGAGTTCAACCAGAGCCTTGACCGAGTGACCTTGCCGGGCAACTTGCAAAGCCTGACTTTTGGTGATATCTTCAACCAGAGCCTTGAACATGTGACCCTGCCGGGCAACTTGCAAAGCCTGACTTTTGGTGATGGGTTCAACCAGAGCCTTGAACGAGTGACCTTGCCAGGAAACTTGCAAAGCCTGACTTTAGGTTATGAGTTCAACCAGAGCCTTGAACGAGTGACCTTGCCAGGAAACTTGCAAAGCCTGACTTTTGGTGATATCTTCAACCAGAGCCTTGAACATGTGACCCTGCCGGGCAACTTGCAAAGCCTGACTTTTGACCATATGTTCAACCAGAGCCTTGAAGGAGTGACCTTGCCGGGTAACTTGCAAAGCCTGACTTTAGGTTTTGAGTTCAACCAGAGCCTTGAACATGTGACCCTGCCGAGCAACTTGCAAAGCCTGACGTTTGGTCGGGACTTCAACAAAAGCCTTGAACATGTGACCTTGCCGGGCAACTTGCAAAGCCTGACTTTTGACAATATGTTCAACCAGAGCCTTGAAGGAGTGACCTTGCCGGGCAACTTGCAAAGCCTGACTTTTGACAATATGTTCAACCAGAGCCTTGAAGGAGTGACCTTGCCGGGCAATTTGCAAAGCCTGGCCTTTGATGAGAAGTTCAACCTGAGCCTTGAAGGAGTGACCTTGCCGGGCACTTTGCAAAGCTTGTTTTTGGGTCCTCTTGTTCTACATCGGTGAGTTATATGTTTTTCATTGTGTTTTTCGGTGTTCTCCAGCGGGGACAGATGTCCACAAGTGACCATGAAGATCTTCTTTGCGGGAATTGCTTTGAGTGCATGCCTCCGGTTCAAATCGTATTGGCCAAAAGGATTCAGATTCAATGTTTGACTCCAGAATAATTCGTACGTAATTCATTCATCGACATCAAGTTGTCCATTGAATAAATCAATGTAGTCTCCATTGTGGGGTGGGCTTAGGGTATGCACAATGCTAGGCCACTGGCAATGAAACATCCGTGATGTTGTTGCATGTTTTACCGGATTTACCTACACAAAATGGTGATGTGTCGTGTCATTGCCAGGTGAAATTGCCAGAATGAAATAAGATAAACAGTGAATATATATATATATAATTGAATATATTAAAGACATATATTTAATTATATATATTGTAATAATGGTTCCTTTTCTTAATGAAGGGTCCTTTCAAGATTCGTTCTTTCTGAAATCCAAAGCGAAATGAATATGTCGCCGCAGTGTGGCTGGTCACGTCCACAGGTTTCAACATCATGCCAAAAAATGCTATAGTGCCTGCCAAATCAAGCACGACCCGATATTCCACCTGTGTAAGGTTGTCATCAAGAACCAATATCAATTTACAAGTGAATTGTGATGAAATTGAACTGATTCATGTAGGTTTTGCTTCTGCACTTTGCATGTGGGTTCCAATGTGTCTTGTATAAGTGAAATCCTTTTATAGAAAACATGAATGGTTTTGACACATGCATCCGCATGGTGTTTTGCACATTTTAAGGGGCCGAAAACATAAACTTTGTGCATTCAATATGGCACTTCTAGATGCAGCGTCCACCTGGTGTTTTGCCTCATTTTGCACTGACTGCACTGACTTCCCGAATGCGCGACGTCGTCGCTTTAGAGATTGCACTGACTTTTCATGTCCGGTTGTACCTCAGTATTATCATATCCGCGCTTGATACCCCTGCTTTTGAGGGATCGGATCCCAATGCTGGTCCCCCGGTGGCCACCAGGGCTACAATTTCTACGAGCTTGCAGACATCTTGGCCGAGAACATTCGCGCTTCTGCGTCAGATATGTGGTACGTTGTGGTACGGTGACGTCCTGGATTACATAAAGCTGGTCATGCTTAGATACCCTTTGCTAATCAAACTTGGCAATGAAAAATCCCCGCACTAAATGGAGGTTGACATGGGAACATACCATCTATGAATGAAAGTGTTTGCATGTAACTGCATGCATTGATGGGTATTGACATATATTAACAGACATTATTTACACTACATTTACGGGTTATCAGACGCTGACCGATTCCAACTTGGGGCTCAATTTTTGGAGTCCTACCCATCTGGAAGATGCAGGTACACTGGACTTCCGCATGTGTTTAATGAGAAGACAATAGCAATGGACCAATGGACCAAACCAAAGATATACCCGGCCTGGTTATGTCAACAGATTGCTATTGAAAATGGCCCAGTCGAAATAGTGGATTTACCCATGAAAATAGCATGGTGGATCTTTCCATAGCTACGTTAAATTACCAGAGGGTAGTTTTAATTTCCGACTTTTCTTCCGTCTCAGCAGTGCTGACCTTTGAACTTTCCGTAGTTTCCTACCGACCAACAAACTGACCAACTGACCTACTTGGGCTCGATCATGATAATTCCTTCCCCATCTTCCCCATCTTCAGCAGAAAAACCATGGTTTTTCAAAGGCCATTTACAGGCCATTGGGGGGGTTCCATAGTCATGGGGCTACCCCAAGCGAGCTTTGGATGGTTTCATGGAAAATCCCCATCAATGGATGAAACTAGGGCTACCCCCATTTCAGGAAAGCTCCATTTGTCAAATAAAGTTGATTTACCACGGTAGTCAAGATTCTGTTCTCCGAATTGTCCAAGCAACGCTCACGCGGGGATGTTCACAGCAAAGATCCACCTATATTCTATGTGTGTTTTGCATTCCCATGTGCCCCATGTATGGAATAGTCAACTATGTGTATCCAAAACAAATGAAGAAACACGACCATTAGCTCGCTAAGTTGCCTTATCACCAAGATATTTAGTGTATATGTGCTAGATAATGGATATATGGTGATATATCGACGTTAATGAGTTTTCTGTACCAACAGACACAACTGGGGCACCAAGACGAGCATCTCCCCTCACAACGAGCGAGGATCGGAGTGCAGGACACCTGTGATCCTGATATTACACGACTGGGGCTGTTACCTGGCGATGTGACATGGAGCCTGTGTGCACGGCTGGTTACCATGGGTGATTGTACTTGATGCATCAAGTTCTCTACTTTTTTGGTGTGTGATGGGATTTTGGACATCGTTGAATTTGACATCATATTCAACGGTGTATGCGTTTGTCTTTGACATGTTTATGGGAATCATGTTGTTTCGTCATCATCGTCATCACATAGAATTAAAACAAAACATGATCATAGTATTAATGATAATTATGATGATGATGATGATGGTGATGGTGATGGTGATGGTGATGATGATGTCCAAACAATGATGGCCAATCAGAATTACCAAACTATCTTGTAATGTGGATAGTCACAATACCCTCCGGCAATCAAATATGGCAATAGAAAATCCCTCATCTATATATAGATATGTTTCCCATTGGAAAATGAACATTTCTTTTTATGTGTCCCATTGCCACGTTTGATTACTGGAGGGTACCCGGCCTGGTAAACATACAAAGTTAGCTATTGAAAATGGCCCAGTCGAAATAGAGAATTTTCCCATGAAACATGGTGATTTTCCATAGTTTTTTGTACGTTTACCAGAGGCTAATTTAACATAATTGTTCACTAAAAGCAGCCATGTGTGAAGTGTTTTTTCCGCTGGATAAAAAGGTCCCCATTTCCTGGTGGTTTCTACTGTAGACAGCTAAGGTGACGCGCATAACTCAACGGGTTGGGCCGGTTGGGTCGATGGATTGGGGGATAGAACTGTAGCACTGTAGGGATACATTGGGGTGAAAAAGCAACAAACCCAACATCAACGGGGAACCTCACCTTGTTCATCTTGGTTTATCGGGATGGGTACCCTCTGGTTTTATTTAACATCATTTAACAGTTCGCGATTGAAGCCATGGCCATTTATAATTGATTTCCCTACTAAAAATGGTGGATCTTTCCATAGTTTTTCGTAGGTTTGCCAGGCCGGGTATGTCTGAAAATGTGGCACATTTTCCCGATGTATGGCAATGATTCATGGAGAATACTGTGACTAAGCATGGGGTGTACCACTGTACCTGCTTTGCCTATTTTCAGACAAAACCCACTCCACGTTTCTGTTGACTAAGTCCCCAATTCTTTGATGGTTCAATCATGTTTCTGCTAAATCTGACTCAGTCTCCGTTTTTGATGGTTAAATCACCATATGTCTATCAATTTCGAATGACTCAGTCCGGATTTTTCATGGTCTTCAACTAACTAACGTTCATGGAAAGTCTTCTGGTGCCGCGGTACGTAGCCACGGACACATTTCTTGTAACGACAATTACGGTTATCGGATAATTATGGAATCATTGCAATGAATCATACTAATCATACCAACTTCTCTGGTTGGTGGTTTGGAACATGAATTTTTATGTTTCCACAGATTTGGAATTTCATAATCCCAACCGGTCCGAACTCCATCATTTTTCAGAGGGGTAGGCGAAAAACCACCAAGCAGAAACTATTGATTATTGGATTTATGTTATCCCATGATCATCCCATAAAATTCACCAATGTTAACCCATTTTTTTAGCCATTAAATCACCATTAAATCAGAAATCTCAACCACCAACCAGATTTTGATTAACCATCATTCACCATATAATACCAATTAACATTAACCATTATTAACCAGTTCAAGCAGTTCTCATTTTTTTTGTTTCGAATCATCTCCAGTGAGATGTCTTGGGGACGATGATCTAGGTATGTAGTAAGCCCCAAACTACGAGAGAAAAGTGTGAAGAAAATCCCAGTAAAACTCAGTGATTACCAGACTGGTTTTATCACTTTCGTGGCAATGTGTAATATTCCATTTATATCTATGATGTTCATGGATTTTCCTGTATTTCTGTGGGAGATTCATTGCATGTTGGACCCTAAGGCATCTGGGGATTCCTAATGCAGGCTCGATATCCAGGCGAGGACGGACAAAGCCGACGGAAGAAATCATTCAGAATCCACAAATTTGCTGTGGTCCTATAGCTTCTGAACTTGACATTGATATCTATGTACACATAGATACTGTACATATATATATATATATATATATGTGTGTGTGTGTTAATGCATGTGCTTGCTGATTACTGTTTTTTGTTCAACAGCCTACATCCGGAAATATTATAAACCCGAGAAGCAAAAGCATTGCATAGCTAAAAGGATCGGTAGGTGCATGCACGTGATTCCTATCATCCTTAGATTTCTACTTTATCCAAGGCCCAAGATCGATCTCATGTCTGGTCGGTGCACCTTTTCGAGGCAATCTTGGTTTGGTTTCCCTGGAGATCTCAACAACAACGTGTGTTCTTCTGCGTTCCAGACATCTAGAGGGCATTAGGTTCTTGTGCGAAGCCTTTGCTGAGTTTGAGACCGAGCCCCGAAGCCTTGTGCAGTGAGCCGGACCATAGCTAAACGGACAATAGTTAACTTGTGCTAATTCATAAGACCTAGATTAACCTTGTATATATCCCATTGAGAATAATCCAGATAACTGGTAGGCTACCCATTGTTATTTCTACTTAGTGATAAATGACGTGTTTATTCGAGATGTATGGAGCGATTGATAGATAGACAGATAAGTAATGATAAATAGATTACTTACATAGTTTAATAGATAGATACATAAATAATCACAAATGGACTCTAGATTCTAGATACATAGGTTGCTTATTTTCGCCCAAAGAAACAACAATTCCTGGTTCCTGCACTGTACGGCTCCGGCACATGGCAGGCTTGGTCAAAAGCATCGTTGCTTTGGATGTTGGTCAACCCTCCTGCGTGACAGGCCTCGATGCTTGGCCCAAGTACGTTTTTTTGCTCGGAAAATAGGTGATTTAGTAAGGGTCTTTATTTGGAAAATGCTCCAGGACTCCATGCTGCTGGAATATTTACCAACATTTACCCAAACAAAATCACCCAGTCATGTAGGTAAATATACCAGCACCATGGAGCATATGGGTTTTGAAAATTGGATGATTCAGCGATTAAACAAACAAACATGATGGAAAGGGGAAGCTTCGGATTTAGTGAGACTTTCTCATCAAAAAATGGTGAATGAGATCGAACCAGCAGAAATGGGGCTAAGGGCTAAACGGCTAAACCAACCAGTATATGATTACAAAACAGAGATATGTGAATACGTGCACGGGATTCATTGTTCAAAATTGAGAAGCTACTTGGGTGTTGCAGCTGAAAATTGGATGTACTGCAACCCCCAGTTTGCTCTTGTGATAGAGAAGACATGCGGGAATGATGATAAACCATGGGATTTAGGGGTACCCTGTGATCAGGGGCGGATTTGTCACCGAACGACGGTCTCCAGTATCCCTAAGAAACCATTGGGTTTACCGTGAAACAGAGAGAATGTGTCGCCAGCTGTGGGACAACAACCAAAGTCAGGATGGTATTTCAGATGTTTTAAGGTAACTAAGGAGATCATACTTGCAGTAAATCATTCCCGTTGGTATCCATGCCACAAGCCTCCCTCAGGACAAAGCACTCGGGGCATTCTTTGCATATCAGTTCCTGCCTTTGGCCGCCTTCTTCATCATACGAGCTACGGCGTCTCAGCACATCTGGTGGTGGTGCCATCCCCAAGGGGCCCCTTGAAGGCCCCTTGGGGGCCCAAGCACTGACCCCTTGGCTGGTAGAAAGCATCCGGAAATGGTAGGTTTATGACACTTGGGTTTACCTCATTATATGTGTTTACATGGATGGATGGATAGATAGACAGATAGATAGATAGATAGCTGTGCCCAAAAAATGATGCGTATCGTTGAATGTATAATAATGTATATGACCATTTGTCAAAAATAGTTGTTTAGAAGTTTAGTATTGGTTGTTGATAATTCATCTGGGTCTACTGTTTTTTCCTCTTCGTTATGAGGCGGCACGCAACTAAATTCAGCAATTCTGCAAGGCAGCGCTAGCAAACCCGCTAGGTTTGCGCTAGGTTTGATTGACAGCCATGGCCTCCATGTCGTGAATGTCTTGCCAGCTTTTCTTTCCACATATTCCCAAATTTTCGATTTTTTTTACGTATTTTACGCGCTAGATCGCCGCTAGCAACGCGCTAGCGAAAATTGCAAATACATGCCCCGGTCCACCCGCAGCCCATTCAGAGGCACAGCCATGTTCACGCTTTGGTAGCTTACAGTAAGGAAACAGCGTTGATCAGGAGGCATGTCAAGAAGCATATTGTATTCAGAGAGGCACACACACAGAGACACACAGTTCAGGAGATAGTACCAGCGACAGCGAATGAAAACCGACGTGCGTTAGCCGATTCCTGTGGTTTTAGAAAGATTTCCAAAGGTAACGAAGAATTTCCACGTTTTCACGTCATCAAGGTAGGTCATGTTTTTTAAAGGCAAACATGAGGCGGCGCGCATGGAATTGCGATTTATCAACAAAACCGGGAACAGACATTTTGACATACCGTCATATATGATTACATAATGAATTACATGTATGATAGACATATATATATATAGTATTGGAGAGGATTGGTTGCCACATGTTGCCACTTTTCGGTATTCTTGGCATTGTCCTGTCCCATTCGCCAACCCGTTAGACCCTGAAAGCGCCCTCAGGTAATTCGTGGAACATTGCCTGGTTTAATTTTGATAGCTATGTTCAATTACCAGAGGCTATAGTGGGGATTGTAATTCAGAATTCATTCAATCCCTTCTCCTAATTTTAGATTTTGGAGACCCCATTGGAAACCTTGGATTTGGGATCTCTTCATTTTGGAGGCTCATGTAGCAAGTACTTCTTTTTGTGGGGCAAGGGCCTCGGCCCTTGATTGCACCCTATAGTGAATCCCATGGAACCAGATGTTTCACCACTGTTTGTTTGATGGTGAAACCACCGTGCATGTTTCCTAGCGAAAACCCCCAATTTCTGAATGGTGAAACATGGTGAAACCACCGTATGTTTCCCATTGAATCCCTCTGTTGTTCGATGGTGAACTCCCAGAATCTCCGAAGCCGTGACCGACGCGAGGCTCGCCTTGGACCGACGCTTCGCGACTGGGGCCGCTGGGTGGCGGACGGCGCGATCCGCGGCTTCATCTGGCTGGCGGGGCATGGCAGCCGAAGCATCACGGCGGATGCAGCTTGGACATCTTGGACCGGTGGATGCTGTGCCGGCTGGCCCAACGTTGGATTTTTAAGCACTATTTAAATAGAGATTTCATAGGATTCAATGGGAATTTCATGGGAATAGCATGGGAATAGCATGGGAAGAATGGATATCTAATGGAATTAACATGGGATTCACCTTTGGGTATTTCCACATGGCTAGCTATGGAAATCAATGGATTTCCTGGTCGGAAAATGACCTACAAATCGTTGATTGCCAATACCTATATGGTTATTTGTATAAGATTTTGCCATGGGAAATGGCCCATTTATAGATGATAAACATGATGATTTACCTATCACAAATGGTGATTTTCCCAGCTATCATACCCTTCGGTATTCGGTAATCAAACATGGCTAGCTGGGAAATCCACAAACTAAATGCGGTATGAATGGGGAAATCATCTATAAATAGATGATTTTCCATTCCCATGTTCCGGGGAGGCATTCAGGAAAGAGATTTGATGGGATACTGGAATACAATGGTCAAATCCTATACTGTGGGTAATTGTGTATGTGATGTACCCAAGATGCGCGTTTTTATTTGGGTTTATCAATCAGGTACCCTGAATCCCGCGATTAATGATCACATGTTTCATTCAAGTAGCAATTTTGATTTGCGGACAAACATATTTTGGCTATGGCTCGTGACACTCCACTCGCTCTTGGCAAGAGAATAACTGTGTTTTTCTGCATTTTCGTGGCATTCTCAGATTTGAATAACCCAGAAAAGGCGGAAAGGTAGCTGTTTGCATTTGTTTGCCCCATAGCATACTTCTTCGATTCAAGGTCCAGAAATCTTCACCAAAACTCTGGACATTTGTTTCGTCCCTCATTGGCCGACATTGGCCGACTAAGGCATCCTATCCATACTTTCACTACCTGAAAGGCCAAGGATTTCGAGATGCGCCAAAAGTGTCTTCAGGCAGTGTTGGGAATGGCTGGTGCTTTTCGAAGTTCTGTCCGCGCAATTCCATGAAGATCATGAAGCCCACCCTCTGGTAATGTTGTTTTGTTTGCTAAGGAAATTCAGCATGTTCAATGGGTAACACATTGAACAAAATGGATCAAAATGGGCCATGGCTTCCATGGCTATGTCAAGTATTCGGAGGCGATCAAATTGACTGTTCCAAGCACAGCAACTTCCAGCAACTCCCGGAATCCACAGACGACTTAGTGCAACCCTTGATTCACCCTTGGCTGGTGACCAGTACAAGTGGCAAAGAACTTCAAGAATTTGGTTCCAAAAGTGGTCAAGATGAGTCATATTGCATTGAAATAGCAGCCAAATAGACGAAGTCAGAGTCGAAGGCCTTTTGATCTTTGGTCTTTTCTTTGTTTCGGAGGAAGTCAAAACCCTTTCCGACCTTGGCAGATGATTTGAGTGGGAAATCCCCCTTTAGATATTCCTTATAAACCAGCAGAACCCGGGTACCGCTTTTAGGGGCAGTTTATAAAGATTTCACTTCTGAACATGAGACATAAAAAAGGGAGGCTTTATAAAATGCATGCATTTTTGAGAGACCGATCGTCATTCTAAAATCTACTGTAGCCCAATTTTGGAAGCAATAAAATGGCAAATCCAAGTAACAAGAACAAAACCTAGCCCTGGGTCACAAAAACATTTATAAAATGGTCTGGTGATCGGTCTATACATGTTATAATTAAAATGCCTTTTCCGGCCTATTCCCAAAAAAGTCATCCGGACATGCCATTATTCTGGTCAGGCGGTTATAACATGTCCAATACAATATGGTCTGTTTCATAATCCTTGATTTTTGCCAATTTGTAAGGTTTTATTTTGGAAAAAAGTGCCCGAACAATAGGCATTTTATAACTTCAAGAAGTGTGTAATTTTATAAAAGCGGCATGTCGGAATTACCATTTTCAAAGGAGCACAATGGGAAAATTGTCAATTTACAAGGGTAATCCTTATAAAGTGGCGCCACCTAGGTTCCAGGTAATATTACAAGGGGGATAGTGGGAACTTCTTCCAGGTGCCACCCTGCCGACCGTGCCATCCTGTCCCTGTCTTTTCATGCGCCTTGGTTTGAAGCGGAGCATTGAGAGAAGACATGCGAAAAAAATCTGGGATGAAATAGGTTTCTGTGGATTGACTTCGAAGCAGAAGGAAAAGATGTACCCTCCGGTAAACAAACATAGCTATTGAAAATGGCCCATTTATAGTGGATTTACCCATTAAAAATTGTGATTTTCCATAGTTTTTTGTAGGTTTACCGGAGGGTAACCAAGGTTAACCATGTGAGTCTTCAGTGAAGACTTTGGCCACCCAAGGTATGCCAAACGGAAGCCTTTCATGCCACTTGGTGAGGATCGGTGTGCTGATCCTGGAAATCCCAGAAGTTGTTAGTGGTTTCAATATGTTTCATAGGGAAATCACCATTTTTCATAGAGAAATCACCAACTTTCATAGGGAAATCACCATTTTTCATAGGGAAACCACCAATTTTCATAGGGAAATCACAATTTTTCAATGATGACTGGATTTTCAACCCTCGGATGCTGACCCCAAATGAAAAATATTGGGGTCCAATTTCAAAGCAGCTTTTCACCACGCGAAGTACTTAGAACTCCATACAGACCATCTTGGTGCCTGGTTGGATGCGTTGAGCCAGTTGATGCCCCATTGCCGACCGGATTGGACCCCTGCACCGGTTCGTACTATACCAATATGACTGAGATTACAGCTACGATAACAAGGGTTTATCCAGGTTACAGTACATAAACCCTTATAGTAGCGTTGGGAAGCCAGTTGATATAACCTGATATAAGATAGCATGATATATGAATATATGTTATATATAAAACCTTGTTACATCTATTTACATCTTATTACTAAGCCAGTTATAACCCAATTCATAGCAGCTGTTGCCTTGGGCGGAATCCAGGTTCCACAGCAAGGCTTGGGCAGAACATTTGATGCTCGGTGATTCGTAAAGGAACGTTGGAGGTGTCCGTTTAGGTTTTTTTTATGGCTTTTCATGGTGGATTTAAACGAAGAAAAAGAGGGGATTTATCATGGATATATCATGATGTATCACCTATTTTTGGGGATATAGATGAATATAGCGGGATACATCTTGGGAGATTTCACCACCATTCTCAATCTTTTTGGTTTCACTTGTGCACCCGGGTCGTGCCCTTTTCAGACTCATCAACATCGCAGGTTCCGGTCCAGGGAAAGTATGATGATAAACCATTGGCATGTTGGTGGTTTCAAACATTGTTTTTTTCCATAATATATGGATATATATGGGATAATCATCCCAACTGGCTCATATTTTTCAAGATGGTTAAAACATGTTAAAACCACCAACCAGATTGGAATGTTGGGGGTAATCACTTGATTTTCGCACCTAACTTGGCCCTAAAAAAGGGGTGGTTCAATCGATGCGGTTCCCCGTGCTCCAACTTAACTTATTCAGCCGCAGCTGCTGACGCACGATTCCTGTACGTGTCAGAGGGCTTTTTTCCACACATGCCAAGCCAATAGCAGAGGATATTGGCTTGATTACCATTAGCATAAATAGGATCAAAAGCACCAATTGGGTTAATCTACTGCTAATGATATATATAATCTGTTTGGTTAATTACCTTAGCAAAACCCAGTCATATATAATCCACTGCTAAAAAATATGCAAATGAACATAGATTGTGTTTTGCCAGGGGTATCTGAGATTTGCCATGGCTGATGGCTACGTGGAGTCCGGCCGTAGTTCTGAGCTTCTTGACGCTCTCATTGATCTCCATGTGCTCTGCCTCAATGGTGAAGGATTCATTCTGCGCCTGAGTCCTTCGACTTTGGGCCGGGACGTGCGCAAAATGGTTTCGGAGCGACTTCCGGCGAAGAAGGGTGCAAAGCTGGCGATCTACCATCTCACTACACCGTTGATACTTGCAAAATCATTGCAAGAGCAGAGCATTTTAGGGAAGACTGAGAGATTGTCATGTACTTATGTTCCAACAGACTTATATGCTGCGTGGTGTTACCTCCAAGGATTCCAAGTCTTCGACGAAGAGTTTGCATTGGACGGGATATCAGAGATAAGAATGATAAGAGGTCGCACCTATGTCCAGCATTTAGATCCCCTCCCCAAAAGCCTGGAAAAATTGACTTTTGGTGAGGCGTTCCACCAAAGCCTTGAACGAGTGACTTTGCCGGGCAACTTGCAAAGTCTGACTTTTGGTGATGAGTTCAACCAGAGCCTTGACCGAGTGACCTTGCCAGGCAACTTGCAAAGCCTGACTTTTGGTCGGGACTTCAACAAGCGTTGAAGGAGTGACCTTGCCAGGCATCTTGCAAAGCCTGACTTTTGGTTTCAGATTCAACCAAAGCCTTGAACATGTGACCCTGCCGGGCAACTTGCAAAGCCTGACTTTTGTTCATGGGTTCAACCAGAGCCTTGACCGAGTGACCTTGCCAGGCAACTTGCAAAGCCTGACTTTTGGTCGGGACTTCAACAAAAGCGTTGAAGGAGTGACCTTGCCAGGCAACTTGCAAAGCCTGACTTTTGGTTTCAGATTCAACCAAAGCCTTGAACAAGTGACCTTTCCGGGAAACTTGCAAAGTCTGACTTTTGGTGATGGGTTCAACCAGAGCCTCGAACGAGTGATCTTGCCAGGCAACTTGCAAAGCCTGACTTTTGGCGGTATGTTTAACCAGAGCTTTGAACGAGTGACCTTGCCAGGCAACTTGCAGAGCCTGACTTTTGGTTATTGCTTCAACCACAGCCTTGAACAAGTGACCTTGCCAGGCAACTTGCAAAGCCTGACTTTTGGTTATTGCTGCAACCACAGCCTTGAACGAGTGACCTTGCCCAGCAACCTGCATAGCCTGACTTTTGGTGATAGCAGCTTGGAAATGGCGTTGGGTTTTAAGTTCAGCCAGAGCCTTGAGCAAGTGTCCTTGCCCAGCAACTTGCAAAGCCTGAGGTTTGGTACTGGATTCAACGAAAGCCTTGAACGAGTGACCTTGCCGGGCAACTTGCGAAGCCTGACTTTTGGTGATGAGTTCAACCAGAACCTTGACCGAGTGACCTTGCCGGGCAACTTGCAATGCCTGACTTTGGGCTATAAGTTTAACCAGAGCCTTGAACGAGTGACCTTGCCAGGAAACTTGCAAATCCTGACTTTAGGGTTTGAGTTCAACCAGAGCCTTGACCGAGTGACCTTGCCGGGCAACTTGCAAAGCCTGACTTTTGGCAGTATGTTCAACCAGAGCCTTGAACGAGTGATCTTGCCCAGCAACTTGCGGAACCTGACTTTTGGTTTCAGATTCAACCAACGCCTTGAACGAGTGACCTTGCCGGGCAACTTGCAAAGCCTGACTTTTGGTGATGGGTTCAACCAGAGCCTTGAACGAGTGACCTTGCCAGGAAACTTGCAAAGCCTGACTTTAGATTATGAGTTCAACCAGAGCCTTGAACAAGTGACCTTGCCAGGCAACTTGCAATGCCTGACTTTTGGCGGTATGTTTAACCAGAGCCTTGAACGAGTGACCTTGCCCAGCAGCTTGCGAAACCTTACTCTTGGTTCGGGTTTCAAGCACAGCCTTGAACGAGTGACCTTGCCAGGCAACTTGCAAAGCCTGTTTTTGGATAGCATTTATCTGCATCTGTGAGTTCAGTGTTACTCGTATGTTTTTCTGCCCGCGAGCCGGTCCGGTCCGTTTGAAAAGGTGAGCTGGTGGGATGAAGCATTGCCTGCCTGTTTGGGCAGGTGAAAGGGTTAATTATTTGGTTCTGCCCAAAGTTGAAACCCCTGTTTTATCAAGTTTCCAGATTTAATGTTTATCTTTTCCAAATCCCGTTCTCGCCCAAGAAGGGTATAAGTCGTACAGTCGTTGCTTTATGTTCACCGACTTTTCACCAGTTCGAACATACCCTCCATGACTCCATGACTCCATGACTCGGCGTAGTAAACCAACCAGTTCGCCAAAGGTTGGGGGGGGGCCTTCTGCAAGATTCGGCTCTGTCGACCAGGAAGAAGCGTTCAGACTGCCATGTGATTCCCGTGAACGCAGGTCGCTGAGCGCTGGCTGCTTGGAACGGGTCATTTTTTTGAGAATGTAGCAGACGACAAGTTCTCGTTATCTTTAGGATTATATTATGATTATATATATATACGTATATAATTTATATTAATTTATATAATTTAATTTAATATGATATTAATATGAACCAAACAATTTGTTTAATCCCAAATCTTGACCCACCCCAAGTGTATATAGCACCCTAGAGCCTATAGTTTGAATACAGTTTCTGTAAATATACAGGATGGTTCTACTAGACTATATGACATTATTGGAATATATGGTCGAATAGGCTCTGTTCAGCACCCAATCTGCAGCGCCATACTAGGAACCATAGGTTTGGTTTGGTTTGAGCTGTTTACCAACCCTTTTCTTTGCGTACCCAATTGCTACCCATACTCATTGCGAGCAGATTCCCATGTGTGCTTTATGAGCTTCCATGTTTTATTATATAGTAACAAATTCGCTTTTGACTGTCACAATGTGTTTGTGAATTTGTTTGAGTCAACAAATCAGTTCTTGTGACGTGATGTTTTTTTGTAGGTAAAGTCTTTGCAGGAATGCATAGGTTTCAGAAGCCCCCATTAACAGCACCACACCCTCAGTCCAGTCGTGAAGCGACAGGCATGAAGGGTCATTGGCTGCAGGCCTGCCCCGTGTTACCCTGGTCATCGAAATGAATAGATCCAATACGAAACCAGGGCTTTCGAACAGGATGGGGCCCCCAGTCGATAGCGTTCAGTTGCCTTATAGGTGGCTGAATTCTATGGTTTATGGTAGATATAACTATAGTCAATGGATGGTAATGGGGTTTATAAACGAACTTATAACTGGGGAGCACCATCCTGAAGGAGTGTTCAATCTTAGAGGAACTCATTGAGATGTAAAAGGAACTACAACCCAGCTACACAGGTCCAGATGTTTGCCATGATTAGGAGATGCCCCCATCCGTGGTAAGACCATTCTTTGGTGTCAGAACTATGGTCCGATGGTTACTAACCAGGTTCGAACTTTTGTTCTAAATCAGTATTTATGTTTGGTTAAACCACTGCTGTTCTTAAATCACTACATTTGATAGCGGCTAGATCCCAATTTTGGTTGGCTGAATCATCATGTTTGTGGGACCCCAGTTGCCTGTGCCATGGTCAAGTTCCTTGGAAATTAAGCTATCCTTGGGGATGGTCATTATGTAATCCATGTTCCATAGGGGGTTCAATGGTTCTGGGTAAATTTCATAGAATTGGATGATGGGAAAATTTACAGGAAAGCCCTATATTTGATGGTAAAAACCATGGTTTCCTGTAGATTTTCCCTTAAATCAATCCATTGAAAATTATAACGACCTCACTGCGACCGAACCCTGGAATCATGATGAATAAGGGAAACAAATCCTGAATTATCCTCAAGCGGCCTTTATTTCAGGTCAGTGAAATATAGTAATTTACCCAGATGGTTATATAATGGGATTTAATAGCGATTTACGGGAATTTAATGGGATACAATGTTCATAACCCTGTTTTGGTTGATTACTATATGGCGGTTTCTTAAGTCACGGAGGATCCCCAAGTCACCATGGCTGTTTGGATGGTGCTTTCTTTTGATGTCAAGATGTGTCATTTAAGTTTTGTGGGACTCTCGCTTCAATTCCTGTGGCAGGTGGAAAAAGCCCAAGAAGTGAACGAAGCGATCGAGAAGTGGTTGGAATAAAAATTGCGTCGCGGAGGGTCATGGCACGTCAGCTAGTTGTGATATTCTGGCGGTTCTGACAATATCCAACAATATCATACATACCTAGACCCTCCAACTATCCCCCAAGAATTGGAAAAGTACCAATATACCGGAATTATGGGGCAAAACACCAGGTTTTAAGGCACTACTTGGAGGGTCTAGGTGATTTGGATATCCCACTAAAGACATCAAATGATATCGTACAGTATCAGACTGAGACAAAGCTTACACTAGCCACTTGTGCAGTGTTCAAAACCCCTGTTCATGATTTCAGGGGATTATACTACCCAAAACTACCCAAGTATTATAGATTGTGATCTATGAATGACTCAGTGGGTTTTGAACATTGCTCACCTTCTTTACCGGTACTTATGACTATAGCCACGGAGGTTCATTCATGACTCGCAGGCAGCGGCCGCCTCTGAAACAGAGAAACATGTACGTCCCATGTGCGGGGGCTCAGCGTATATGGCAACATCATCGGAAATGTTAAACATCAACTGCAATCATTTGGGTTTAACGATCTGAAAATGAGATACCCGAAATCTTGATGGTTGAACATGTTTGAGGGATGTCCATCCGTCCATCCATCCATATTGAGTTATTTACATTCCTAAGTGGATGAGCAAGATCTATCGGTTGGCAAGTCAGCCGATGGTCCTCTTCCCACTGGTTAAGACAGGGGCTACGGTCACGCCATAAACGGCCAACAGGATCCAAACTTTCCTAACAGGACATGTGTCGATGATGCTGCTGATCCGTCCCAGCAATGCATGCAAGTCAATATCTAGCAACATGTACCAACATTTAGCAACATGTACCCCAAAAGTTGCTGATATTTACCAACTCTCACCAACATTTACCAGCATTAACTAACATTAACTAACATTAACTAACATTAACCAACATTTACCAATCAAAATTGGTCCATTCCTGGTAGGTTAAAAGCATCAGCCTGGCGTAGCCTGTTGGGTCTGGCAAGGCCAAAGAAGTTGGTCGGAAAGTCGCCTTTCTTCCGTGCCGCAGGGAGTGGTGCGGCAGGATGTGGTCCGAATGTATCCCCAACTGACTGAATGGATTGGTGAAGATGATAGTGGATAATATTATTTGAATATTCACTATTATCCACTATGATTGAAGAATATAACATAATGGATTGAATAATAGTGGATATAATAACGGTGAAGATTTACTGAAGTTGTTTGACCTTTTTTTTGCTTATGGAATAATAGTTGATGATATAAGAATATTGTCTAATCATAGTGGATGATATAAGAATGTTGGAATACATAAATGTTGTCTAACAATAGTGGATAATATCAGCTCCAAAGACTATTGCTGGATGGATATGTTGAATCCTTTAGTTTTTGTTCAGCCGACTGGATGGAACATATTGGAGAGTCAATTGTGTTTGATGTTTTTTTGGGCTATAAATGGAACATATCATAACTGGTTGGTGGTTTGGAACATTAATTTTATTTTTCCATATGTTTCCATATATTGGGAATAATAATCCCAACTGAGTTTCATGTTTTTCAGAGGGGTTGAAACCACGAACCAAAGAACATGAGCAGCAAAAGATGACATGTGTCTTTGTGATCAAAGATTTACCATGTAAGAAGACGGGATGCGTTGGATGTGCAAATCATTCTTTGACTTAAATGGGATCAAGCCAGTGGTGGGACTGGGTCGGGGTTCTCACCACTACTCTGGGTCAATTTTGATTATGATAAGATACGAACTAGTACTTTAATCTTTTGATATTAATGGTAAAATACTGACCAGCTATAGATTATTATTTTGACAGGTATCTAGGTTCCACCATGTACTTTGCGACTTGCTTTGGTGAAATACCATCAGTGTAATCAGGCAGGGTGTTTGTGATACTTCCTCTTAGTTCTCCGGTATCCGCCCAAAAGTGTGACTCAAAAACGAATAGATTCCAGTCAGGGTTTCTGGAATTTCTACTGGGGCAATCTTGGTTTGGAAGCTACATCGGTCCGTCGGTCAATTAGTTTCCATCAATGGATAAAACAAACTGCAATAAAATGAGACTTGAGTAAGGCATGATTTCATGGTCTATAGGGCATCTCAGGGTCAACGGCATGTTTCTTGGCCTTTAATGCCCTTCATTTTATGGATCAATGTGTTTCCATGATTTTGCAGGGTATCTAAGGTCAGCCATAACATGAGAGTAACCACCAGACTTCACCAGGTGTTCAGCCAAACGGCAGGTCCCAAAGATGTGTCCAAGCTCTTTGAAGAGGCAGGGCAGTGGATGGCGGATGAAGTATGAACCGCAAAGGATGGTATCGTTCCATAAATGGGGCTACCCCAAAAATGGATGGTTTATAATGGAAAATCCCATGAAAATTAGTGATTTGGGGGCACCCCAGATGGATTGGAAACCTCATGAAACCTCCAGATAATGTCATAACTCTTCCCAGAATGGTTCGGTCTTAATTGGCTCAATCTTGGGTCTGTGTCAAATTAGGTGTTGGGGGTGGATGCGAAAAACCTATGACCAACATGTGTTGTTGGGCCTGACATTGTGCGTTACCCGTCAAAACCAAGCCATACTGGAATGTGACAAGCAAGAATTCGGCAACAATCCAGGTAGCTAAGCATGATGCTTATTGATTGGGCATGCTCCTAGAGACTCTTTGCAGGGATGTGCAAACATGGAATATCCATCTATATAAATGTCTTATATACACATGTTTGGTTGCATTAAGGTTGTATTTGATATATTATACATAATATATATATATATATACATACCACATATATATATATATACATATATATATGTACATATATATATATATATATATACATATATATATGCATATGCATATACGCATGGACATGCGATACAATACATGCATTGCATTACATCACATTACATTACAGTAGTACGTACCTATCCCTTTCACCAGGGTTACACGCTTTGGATCAATAGCCACGCAAGATGAGCCCCCACAGTTATAAGTTCGGTTGGAACCCCCCCTTTCAACTATAGGTATATCTATCATGAAGCATCTAGAATTCAGCTAGTTACCCTCTGGTAAACTAACAGAGCTATGGAAAATCACCATGTTCAATGGGAAAATCCACTATAAATCACCATTTCCAATAGCTATTTTGACATAACCAGAGGGTACTTGCACCAACTTAGCTATCATAAATCCGCCATAAATCCCATGAAATCCCCATTGGTTCAATCGCCAGATCGATACGGACGGCGATGGCCAGCTAAGCAGGGAGGACCTATTGTCGGCTGACTCAGCGACAGGGACGGATCCAGCTCTGGATTTCACCAAAAGGGTTGGTAAATGTCCTGAGTATTTGGGTAAAATTGGTAGACTTGGAGATTTTGAACATCAATTTCTTCAACATGTTTTATTGAAAGTGATGTTCACCAGGCAAAAAAATATCTGGATTCTGGATTCATGTCCTGGGGGATTTTGAACATCACCTTGAAGAATCTTCAAGAACATTTGTTGGAGATCAAAAAACATATATCACGAAAGGTAGCTCCAGAGGGGCTACCTTGAGTTTTACTTTACGAAGTAAAGGGGAGGGCGGCCAGCCCCGTTACCTGATTCTTCAGGAGATTGCTAGTCATTTTAGTACCCCCCCCCTCCACACCTCCCACGCACCCTAAGAGCAGACTCAAAATACTGTAATTTACAGTATTTTTGTTCTTTTCGGATCAAGAAACCACATTTTGCTACATGGTGAAACCTCCGTAAATACCAGTGTTTTTGCTAGGTGCTGGCCAAAAAACACTGTAAATACCGTGCTTTTTACTACCAGAGGCAAAAAACATCGTAAATACCGTGGTTTTGGGCTTCCGACCCGCCAAAAACATTGGTATTTACGGTGTTTTTTGCTCCGAGCGATGCAAAAACACGCGAAAACACCACCGATTTGACGATTTTCGGCCACTACGGAACCGAGCAAAAACGCTGCAGGGGTAACACCAACACCGACAAGAACAACACCAACAGCAACAGCAACAACAACAACGACGACGACGACAACAACAACAACACCAACGCACAACGCACAACGCACAAAGCACAACGCACAACGCACAACGCACATCACACAACACACAAAACACGCAAAACACACACAACACACACAACACACACAACACACACACAACACACAACACACACAACACACACAACACACACACACAACACACATACAACACACACACACACACACACACACACACACACACACACACACGCAACACACTCAACACACACACACACACACACACAACACACACACACACACACAACACACACAATACACACACACACATACAACACACACAACACACACAACACACAACAACACATAACAACACACCACAACGCACAACAACACACCACAACACACAACAACACACAACAACCACAACAACCACAACAACCACAACAACCACAACAACCACAAACAACACACAACAAACAACAACAACACACAACACAACAACACAACAACACACAACACAACACACAACAACACACAACAACAACACAACAACACACAACAACAAACAACAACACACAACAACACACAACACACACACAACAACACACAACAACACACAACAACACACAACAACACACAACAACACACAACACACAACACACAACAACACACAACAACACACAACAACACACAACAACACACAACAACACACACACACAACAACAACAACAACACACAACAACACAACAACACACAACAACACACAACAACACACGCAACACACAACAACACAACAACACAACAACAACACACAACAACACACAACAACACAACAACACACACAACACAACAACACAAACAACACACAACAACACACAACAACACACACAACACACAACACACACAACACACACAACACACAACAACACACAACAACACACAACAACACACAACAACACACAACAACACACAACAACACACAACAACACACAACAACACACCACAACACACCACAACACACAACAACACACAATAACACACAACAACACACAACAACACACAACAACACACAACACACAACAACAACAACAACAACATCAACAACAACAACAAAACAACACCATCAGCAGCAGCAGCAGCACAACAACAACAACAACAGCAACAACAACAACAACAACAACAACAACACGAACACAAACAATACCAACACCAACAACACGACCAACAACACCAACACCACCAACAAACCCAACCACACCAACAACACAAACAACACTAACAACACCAGAAACACTACCACCACCAACAACACCAACAACACCAATACCAACAACACCAACAACACCAACACCACCAGCACCACCAACACCACCAACACCACAACCGCCACCAACCCCAACCACATCGCCGAAGCCTTTCAGTCGCTTTTACCAGACTCCCCTTCATATTTTTGGAAAGAAACTGGCCGCGTCGCTTTTACCAGACTCCACTTTATGTTTTTTTCCCTGCCCTCTCCCCTTCATTTTTTCTTCGGTTCCTTTCTTGCTTACCTACCTTTCGTGTTCCCCCTCTCAAGTTTGTTGATGCGAACAAGTAGGCCATTTAGCAACCCATGAAACATAGGGATTTCAGAAACAAATTTTATCCCCAACTGACAGGATTTCCAGGATGGGTAGAAACTCATCTTTGAGTTTTTGCTATTTGGAGGGAACATAACATGAACATAACCAGCCAACCAGCAATCGATGACAATTTGTGTGGACTATGAAAGATTGGCCATGAAGAGAGATTTAACCATCAGAAATGGGGATGAAACATACATTTAGCTGTGGATTAGCCGTAAAAACTCGGAAAACATAGGGATTGAAACGGCAGACCATCTCAGAACCAGCACACAAAAATGGGTTTAATCCTGCGGAATCATTTGACCATGGTGGTTTGGGAATCTTGGACTACCGCGCGTTTGTTTCCAAGAACTGTTTAAGGTTATGTCGGCTATGTCTGTTTGGGTGATGTTTTGATATCTCTACTTATTGCATTTTATTGCAATCTTTGGAATTTATGTACGATTGCCCATGAAAAGGGAGCCTTACCAGCGAGAAACATGGAAAGAATGGAAAAGGCTGGGAATTCAGGCGCGGCAAAAACTGCAACGATGGCAGTGTGTTCAACCCAAAGCTGCTGATCATATCCAACTTTTCCAGGCAAGGGTGGTGTTGTAGTAAACCATCCCCAACTGGGTTTTACTTACTCGGTCTACCACAAGATGATATTGTGTTTACATATTCAAGGTTGCATGTTGATCTCGAGTTGTGTCTTTCCTGTGTCTTTCCTGTGAGACGAACCTGTCCTGTGAGACGAACCTGACGAAAGACATAGATGAAAAAGTTGGGAACCACGGGCATCAAATATATCAGGCGATTTCATTTGTACATACCTACACAGCAACATCCTGGGGTTGACTCCTACCTGGAGGATCCTGGGCTTATCCTGTATTTGTTCAACCGGGTGAACCAGATATCAGGGCAAATTATGACGACCTCACTGCGACACCCTGAAATGATGGTTAGTAAGGGTTACCTGTATTCCAAAATCACCTCTTTTCAGGTCAGCGAATTTTTATCATTCACCCAGACATATGGTTTCTCCAAGTAGGATTGATTCCCTCTAGATACATAGACATAGATACATAGCCAGTAACCATAGTTCTGGGTGACCCGTCGCGACGTTACTGGAATGTCTTACAGTGAGACTTTTGGATACTTTTGGTGCACCCCAAAAGGCTGAAGTTGTCAGATTGATGAATTATATATGGAAGAATTCCTATAGTAAAATCACATCAGAATTCACCGTTTTCAATGATTTATCCAGAAAGTATGTCTAGTTACATCCTATGGACCAAACTTACGATTCGTGGGATGGTTCTCCACATAGAGCCACCATGTAGTCATCGTCGCCATCGCCGCCATCGCAGAGGCCTTACCTTCGGGACTATTTGGGTTTTGGTCATGCTGGTCCTCCCAGAGGGTGCCGATGAGTACACAAAGTACACCAGGAAAGTTGTGTTTAGATACAGGATAGGACCCCCGTTCGATAGTGTTCAGTTGCCTGAAAAAAGTGGCTGAATTCTATGGTTTATGGTATATAGCTATAGCTAATGGCGTTTATAAACCAACTAACATCACTAGGGAGCACCATCCTGTATGCAGTATGTAGTTTTGTCAAGGTGAACATTGATTTCTGAGATATCTATTTCAAACTCCGCACACTTTGTTTCTTTGCCGTAATTCGGTAGTAATGGGGGTGTTTTCCTTTGCCGGGTCTCTCTTGCTTGTTTCGCACATCCAACACGTGGGATTGTACTTGGTGCCCATTTGAGGCATGCTATTGGGATGGTTCAACATCCCAAACATGTCTTGGTGATCTTTCCGCAGGCCATCAACAGTAGATGTTCCTGCCTTTCCTGCTAATCAACATGTGGGTATGTGGGAATGCCCCAATCCCGCCTTGAAACTCGTGGGTTCAATACTCAAATAGAAGACATATCCATTAATTTTGGTGGTTTGGATTACATTGTCCATGTGTGTTGCTTGCAATTCTTGATTGCTGTTTCATTTTCTCCAAATTCAAAAAAAAAACAAAGCAAGAGTAACATCAACCCTAGATTGATAAACCTTGGTTGATTAATTACAGTGATCATTTGCTCTTAAAATGCTACCTGGAGGAGCTAGTGGTGAAAAAGTCGTATGCCATGGTGTAGACGGACACCCCCAGTCCTCGGTGTCCTCAGCGCTGCATGATTTTCCCCGAGGCAGAAGTCTTGAACTTTCTGGAGGCTGGGTTGCCTGGGGAAGAAAGAACTGGTGAATGGTTGGTTTCTTGTTGGTTCATGGAAAGTAGCGCTTGGGAATATGTCAATATATGTCAGTATCATATGAGTTTTGGAATGTTGTCGCTCTTTGACATTATAGGGAAATAGGTCACATCTACTTGCATTTTTTGTGTGTTTGCCATGGTTTGACGCTTGTGTTGTTGATGTTGCTGGTGATGGAGTTCCTGTCAGAGACCGTCAAGACCATTGAGCACTGCTCGCGAGGATTACCCTAAATCGAGCCAGTATGAAATCAATCTCCAAAAGAACAGGCCATATCCTGAATACAAGCAAAAGGCGGCCAATCATGCGGGATGTTTTTATCATGATAGTGGAAGGGATCGAGATTTGACATTCCCCAAAGATGCTCATAGTCAGCATCCGCCCCCAGCCCCATGATGTAGGTAGATTGTTTTACCTGCAGAAAATCGAGACCAGATGCATCCGTGCTGCGCATGGTGCGTGGATCTTTGGGATGGGTCTTAACCACTTTCTATGCCCAAGTGGCCCAAGAGTGTGTTTGATATATCAGTCGTTTTTTCCTATCATTATATATCTATTTTCTGTCTTCATGCGGTTTTGTTTGAACATAGGGTACCTGCAAATTTGATAGTTTATAATTAAGAATTACATATTCCCTACTAAAAACTGTTGTAAATCGGGTATGAATCTCCCATTTTGCGAGAAACCCAGTACTCCAGATTCTTCATGTGTGATTTTTCATCCAAGATCTCTCGTCCAGATCACATTATTTATTGCTTAAATCCCTACGTTGGATATCGAAACCTCCAATTTGGGTTGGCGAAATCACCCTTCGGAAGGCGCATCGCAGCTCGAACTCAGGGGTGGACCTGGCTGCTGGGGGACCCAGCTGATTTTCATGGGGAACATACCCTTTAAGGTAAACGTTTACAGTTTGCGAACTGGAACATCATCACTTTTATAGCTAGGTAAATCAACGAATTGTGGCCATTTTCAATAGCGACAGGATGGTGCCCCCCAGTGATGTTAGTTGGTTTATAAACCCCATTGACTATAGTTATATCTGCCATAAACCATAGTTATGGGAGTTATAAACCAACTTAGCTAACGAACGGGGCACCACCTTGTAGGATAGAGAAAATATTCATGCGATGCTTTCGCCGGGGCTTGAACGGTTGAAAATCTTCGGAAGAGTTTTGGACGGCCATGTTACCCTCTGGTAACTTAACTTGTTGACCCTGGCACTCATCGGGGTTGGAAGACTAGTTTCCATGAAAATTGGTGATTTTCAGGGTCCAACTGTTTATTTACCAGGGGGTATTATGAGCAACAAAAATGGGGAGATGAATGTATGGGGCCTCAGTAAACTTTGGTTGAAAAGATTGCTAGTCTTAGTTAGTAGTCTTCATGTTTTTCGAGGAACGGATATCATATTCTCTAAGCACCACCAAATGAAGCTCTTCTGGTAGGATTAGGATCCTCAACAAAATGACATGGTCATTATGGCTGTCGGTCCAAAATCACTTCCCTCCATGTTGTTCCTCTGCGTATCTTCCCCGGCCCCTAGTGAAATCAATGGCACAGGCTGTTTCAAGTGGGAAGACCTGTTTCAGCCTGTTCGCCTGTTTTCTCAAAACGCGGGATACCCCAATTTATGGCAAGGCAGTTGATCTGGAAAATGACAAACTGTCTGGGAATTGGACTTCCCAACTTTGTGACAATGATTACTGTTATTTGGGAGGGCATCACGGACAAACACTATCCAACAAGATCTTGCCATATATTAATATTGGCTGGGAAGATCCTACTTTAGAGTATGTATTCATAATCATTGCTAAGTTGTTCCTGTTGATGTGCATTTTTTTTATCATGCAATCATGTAACAATCTTGTAAATTTCTTGCTATGAGTGTAGTCATCATTTGAAGATGTTGCGCATACCTGACTAATTATTCAGGTACCACTTCAGACACTAGTCATCAAGAATATCTGACTACTTGTACTTTGTCTGGCCAATTGGCCACATGAGCACTAGTTTTCCCCTATCGGTCCACAGTTGCTTCGATTTATACCAGCTGGGCCATCTTTTTCTTCATACCCCATCATGAGCCACCATCACTACGAACCAGCTATGAAAACATACCAATCCACAGCAGTTCAGTTTCCTATATATAATATATTATGCTTACAATGTGCATGATTATATATAATTGATTATAATTGTAACTACAGTATACATATATATACATATTTATATATATATTATGTAATATTCAAAATATGATGTAGGTGTAGAGATTGGTATTGCCCAGCCTGGCATACCCAAAAACCCGTGAAAAATTCGTCATAGCCGAGCCGGAGGACTTTAAGCGCGGGCTCGAAGAGCTGAATCCCTATGCGGTACACAATCGGTGCGCCGAAGTCGAAGCTCGCTATGTTGGGTCAGTGTAAGGGGAAGCACCACATAGCTAGTTGTTGCTTGATGAGTGAAAAACGTGGCTTTAGAGTTTTTACTGGAGAAACCTTGGTGCTTGGTGCTTTTTGATATCTTTTGTTTGGCTTCTGTTTTCTTTTCACTGTAAGTTTGGCAACATTTTGGAGGGGATTCAACGTGGTGAATAATCCACCTTAAACTTCCAAGATCCTCCAATTGGTGGTGGCGTGAAAACACGTCCTCCACCCATTTCTATCATTTATGGCAAATTTATGGTCATTGGGGATGGCTTATGATACTGTCGATGGTTGCGAAATGTTGCGAAATCCGATAAACCACCAATTTGGGATGTTTGAAAGCCTATGTTCATAATGGGATAAGCCATCTATCAACTGGTGCAGATTGCAGGATTTCTTCCATCCACTGTATCTTATATTGATATATAGGTATACCAAATTGCTGTGATTTCCACGAGTCCGGTCCGGTGTCCACATCGCTTGGCGTCAGGGATCACAAGCTGATCGTGCGAAAACCGCACGCTTTTGGCGGCATCGAAGGGGTGGACTTCCACTTGGAGGTCCGGCCGGAAACGGGAAACGGAGAAAGCTTGGATGATGTGGGATGGATATGGATGGATACTGAATACTTATTTTATGTTGGCATAAATGGGAATATGGACTTTTAGATGGGTACTTTGTTTTTTTGGTTTGAAGAAAAGTGACAACTGTTGGTTTTTACAAGTGTTGGTCTTTTCAGAAAAGTGACAACTGAAAAATGCACCAATACTTCTCAGTGACAACATGTCATAAGAGAACTGCAGGGTATCCAAGATTGGCCATGTGTCGTGGTTGGTATGTAAATGGTTCATGCGAATGTATCTCAATACAAGGATCCGGGAAAATCAAGAAAACATGAGGTATATGGATGTCAATGAGGCAATGATTATTTCAACATATTTCAACATCTTGGCTTGTGCGCTGTGCTCAGATTCTGAGCATGAGGCCTATATCCACCATCATTCCATAACCCAAAAGTCATCGCAACCATGGGAGCCCGCCGTTGGAGGACTGCACTGGGTGCACATGTCTCATTTGCGACAGATCAGAGGAGTTCAAAGTCGACGCCACTGGGCAGAGTTTACCTTGCTGTTGATTCGTTTCTTGAAAATGCAGTTCCCTGGATTTTAGAGGTTGGACCTCTGAATTGATATATACTGTAATATATATTTATAGTATAATATATAGTATATATATAATATATATATATATCATATATGATATAATATATATAATATATAATATAAGATATATAATATATATATATATATATCTGGGTAAATTATAACGACCTCACTGCGACCTCACTGGAATTTTGGTTAGTAAGGGACATCATCCCCAAATGGCCTTAATTCAGGTTAGTGAAATATTGTAATTTACCCAGATATATATATATAATATGTTTTAACTTATTTAGTGCGTGGCTCTGTGCAAATATTTGCAAACTTGCTTGTTTGCAGCAGTAAATCAAGGGGGATCAAAGCCAAACTGATGCCGCCTGGCTTCTTCTTCGGACACCGGGCAGAACCGTTCCAAAAATACGGTACTCGTAGGGAACAGTAGAAAATGATAGATAACCATAGAAAAACCAATGAACTAGTTTTCCCTGTTGGTACTATAATCTGTTCAAGGATGATTTCCTTTCCCGAAGCACGGAAACAATCCACCAGTGGCCAAACTCTTCAAAGTCAGCTCTTGACTGTTGCAGTACGATAGGGAATGCTGCTCATTGGATGATATGTTCGCTGCAAACCCTAGGTTTGCCCGCGGCAAATCCCTGCGTAGGGTTTAAGTTGTTTACTTTCCAAAACAACAAACCAAAACCCCTAAAACCATCTAAAACCTAAAACCCTAAACCCTAAATTAAAACCTTAAATCCTGAAAACTTAAAGTCAAAATCACTGCGTATAGCCAGTGTTTTCATTCATTCTCTGGTGATAAGTATAAGTATATCATATTGTTTGGATGTGTTGTTTGAGTGTGGGCGAACCCAGGGTTTGGAGGGAATATGTTTCACAAGTCTACCCGGCAAGATGCTCAGTATCCCACTCGAGAGGTATAAATTGGGGAAGCAAGCGATAGATTGCGTTTTATTACCCAAATGCTCCATGCATGGAATATTTACCAACATTTACCCTAAAAGTCACCAAGTAATGTAGGTATATATTCCATACATGGAGCATATGGGTTATGTTGGTATCAAAGATTGGTCCATCCAGTTGAAGACGCGTTTTCGCGGGCGCCCGAAAAAAAGCCTGTTAGTTCAGTCAGATCAATGGAATATCCCAAGTTGTATATATATACATGTCTACATGTTATCGGAGGTTTCCATAAATGGGGGTACCCCCAAATGGATGGTTTATAATGTAAAATCCCAATCTAAAATGGATGATTTGGGGGTACCCTCCATTTTAGGAAACTTCTATATATATATATACTGGTTGGAACATGAATTTTATTTTTCCATATATTGGGAATAATCATCCCAACTGACTTTCATATTTTTCAGAGGGGTTGACACCACCAACCAGTTATTATAATTATAATTATGATACTTGGATGATCATCCCACGGCTCGCAAGTGGCTCTTTTTCACAGTAGCTAAGCCATTTTAGGAAACATCCATATATATATATATCCAGTATAGCTTTGGGATCAATTAGGATTGAGAGGATTTTTATTTCCTCTAGATCCAACATGTCCTTTTCTCTACATCCATATATAATCATATATATATACTATATATTTTTATATTTTCCATATTTAGGAAACCTCCATATATATATATATATTCATTTATATATATATATATTTACATATAATATATATATATATATCTAATATGTGGGCTTAAAAACCACCTTCTAACGGGGGTCCACATTTTTCGAGGCCTTGACGAACTGTCGCGTGCTCATCGGGTGCCGGAGCTCAGCGGGATGCGGTTTTTTTTCCGACGTGGAGCAATTTGGGGATACGCTTGGTGAGGCGAATAACCAACGTTTCCAAACGAAAAATCATAGGAAAATGGTGATTTAACCAGCAAGAATCGGGAAAATCATAGGAAAATCACAGGAAAATGGTGATTTAACCAACAAGAATTGGGATTGAATGAGATTTAATTATAGCTTTATGATAGCGAAGTTGAGGCGAATAACTTGGTTAGCTAGGGTCTCTAAGGAATATCCTCATAGTTGATGGGTTTGTAAACTGGGGGGCCTCACCTTGTATGGGTGTGATCTAACTCTTGGGGTACCCAATAGCTACCAACTGGTGCAGGATTTCGCAACCATCCACAGTATCAAAGGCCATTTTCTGCGGCATGTGCTGCAAATCGAAATTCAATTACGTTTTTGAGGCCTCCCAATTTATAAACCCATTAACTATGATTATATTCCTTAGTAACCCTAGCTAACCATAATTTTTCGGGATGAATTTTTCATGCGTCTATTTAGAGGTTACAAATTCGATCCATGCTCCGAAGCAAGCAGAAAATTTACTCTACAGAAAGGTTGTTGGAAATCACAAGGGGGTTTCCACCTGACTGTCCTGGCTACGTGTATTCCATTGGAGGTCCCATTTGCAGATCTTCATCTACCAATAATCTACCAATAACATTTCAGGGGTCATAACTAATGTATCTAGTGAATGTAGCCGGGACTTCTGAACTGATAATATCTGATAATCTGGCTTTTGAGCAACATGATCCGATCGTCATTCTTCTTGAAAGCTACGATGGCGATCTAAAGTGATATTTGAGCTGAAGTCAATCCGATCCAAAGCCAGCAGACCCTTAAATGAATGAGCAAAGGAAAGGGTGGCCTATGGGGTTTGCTGACGAATCCCCCGAGGAAGTCGGAGGAACTACGAGATGTTTTTATTGTGATTGGTTGAACAGGATCCAAATTCCTGACAGTCAGTTTGCCAGTAGCAAAATACAAGAGACAACTTTGCCAGTCGAACTTTGAATGACGCATTATCTTTATGAATTCAGTTTTTTTTAGCACACATGATTGCAACATATCCTATTTCATTATATTACAACGTATTGCAACAACAGATAGTTTATGAGCAGTTTTGCATGCCTTTATATTGTGGTCGCCCAGCAAGGTGCACATATTTATGTTCATAGGCGTGTTTTTCATAGACTTTTCCTAAAATGGAGGTGCATCCCATTCCTAATGGTTCTGATCCCATCTACAACTGGGTTACTTTTTAAAAGGTCTTCTAGTTCTATCCCGATGTTACTTGATAATCCCGCTGGGTTTAGATCCCACACTGCGAGTTGTCGGCCCAGCACCTGGGCAGAGCACACCAAGGCCATGTAGCTCTTCCACCTTCATTCGAAACTGTGAAAACTGTACCTTTTGGGTGTGGAGACTCGATGATTTTTTTTGGTGGCCCTGGGAGGCTGGGAGGTCCGTGATTCCTGGGGTGTTATCCTATTTGTGACTAGGAGTTGTAGGACTTGTATGGCTGTGGTTCATGAGAATGGATGATTTGTGATGGTTTTTGCCCAGGGGATTTGAGGGACAGACCCAAATTGGATTTCATTTATGGCTTGGGGAGAACTAGTAGAAACTATGGGGCAGCTTTTGACTGGCGCGCACGGTAATGTTATATCAGTTGTATCACAGCAAGCTGCTACATATAAAGCCTATAAACACTAGGACTTACCCAAAATCAAACAAGAACTCAGAAGTTTTCCCCGTGTTTTTTTTTGAAGACCCTGCACTAGCATGGCCATTCCCAGTTTGTCAATAGCCCAGGTGGCTACCAAACAGTTTCGCGTCAGAGACTGTTCTCACTGCACCTTCTATTTGCACGGAACTCAGCTTTCCGGGATTGAAGACGCAAAAGCAGACGCAAAAGCAGATCTTTGAATCTGGAGAAATCTGTGGTTAATCTACTGTTAATAATGGTTAATATATGATTGTTAATGATGGTTATTGTATGGATAATAATATGGTTAATAATATAACCATAATATTATGATCATAAATAATAACCATTAATTAACCACTTATGGTCATTATGGTTAATAAGAATAATAATAATAATATAGATGACCCAAAGTTCCGTAGACATCGAAGGAGGATCCTGGTGCCGCAGGCATTGCCACACCGAGCCGGTGATCGAAGCGTCGAAGGAGCGGGGCATAGGTTTTTTCGTCCCGTTTTTCCATGGGGAAAAGCTGTGGGATTTGCGATCTTCCTGGATCAACTGGGTGGATGATGGGGTAATGATCATTAACCATTGGTTTTCCCATTTTGGTAGGTATTGTTCCATGGTAACCACTAAATGATATAATGATCTTAGAAGTAGTTTTCTCTTTTTTTGCATTCTTTGCTGGTCAGATAAATTACCATCTGGTTATGACTCACATAGCCATGGAAGCCATGGCCCATTTATAGATGATGTTCCCAGCTTTTAACCTCGATGTATAAGGGATTTTCCATGGCTATGTTATATTAGATGGTAATTGAGATAGATCAACCAAACCAGCTAACATGTATGTTTCTTCGTGCAGGATATCTATACTATTCTATACTTTAAGGTTGGCCATTCACAGATGTGGATCATGTTTTGTGACTGCATGATCCCTGCTTTGCATGTTTCTGAACTAACAGCATGACTCATGACTCAAACTCGAATTGGTATTATATGTTATTATATGTTATTATTATTAGTATTAGTATAATAATTAATCATAATAATAATAACAACATATAATAACATAATGTAACTATTGTTATTATTATTGTTATTATTACGTAGTCTCAGTTAACCTGGTTGGTGGTGTCAAATATGGTTCCAGCCATTGATTGTCCATCCTAGCTGGTGATGACCACCCGTTACAGCACGCTCAAATGCACTCAGAAGTGTCACAAATTTGGTCAGAATCCACGATGAAAATATCTCATTTGATCCAATTTGAGGAGCACCCAGTAGTTGGGAATTAACATCGCTGGTAAATGTTAGTTCGATGGCTTTTTCATTCATAAAAACCTGTATTTCACCTGTTTTCATTCACCTGTATTCAGATTACAATAGTTCCACATTCACCTGTATTCATGCGTGTGTGACTGCGGGTAGAAAATGAGGTTGCAGAAATTGGAAATGGAGCAAGTGGTGAACGATTGCTTTATGGGATGATGTTCAATTAAATTGGAAGAATATCATGTCCTACTGAAAACCACTAACATGTTTTTTGTCAAACTGTGTTCTTGTAATTCTCAACAGCTTGCCACAGTTTGGGTTCACACCTCGAGTAACAAGAAGGCCAGGTAATATAGATACAAAGAAAGAGCATCAATAAAGCCATAGAGCAGGAGAAGAAAAAAATGAGACATCCTATGAGAATTCTGAACTGCCCTCTAATCACAGGTGTGTTTCACAGCGAGTAATAGGATACCACCACCACCACCACCACCACCGCCGCCGCCGCCACCGCCACCGCCACTGCCACCACCACCACCACTGCCACCGCCACTGCCACCACTGCTAGCCACGCCACCGCCAGCCAGATGATTGGAAACCCAACAGCCCAAAGCCACCCCCCAAACCCTAAAACCCTAATGAAATCAATTAACAGGTAGAAGCGTTGGCATTGTCAGCTTAGCTATTTGATAAGAGCTCCACGCACATCATTTACACATCATCCAAATGGAGATCCAGATCCGGAAAAGTGGAGGAACTTTTTTTTGTGGCAAAAAAAAGCCCAGCTACATCCAGCAGTCACCCAATCCCATGGAATCCCATGGCCCATCTGAGTGGTTTTTGCTTTTGCCGGAGGGCCACCAAGATTTTCTGCGCGAAATCGAGGATTTACGCATTGCGCCGTTTCATGCCACGTATCCGGGCTTGCCAGGAACTCAGGGTTGCCGTCGATCCAGTAGGCTTCAACTACCATCTGGTTATGACTAACATAGCCATGGAAAATCACCATGCTTTAGGTAAACCATCTATAAATGGGCCATTTCCCATGGCTATGTTAAATAGCCATCTATTTCTATGGGCCATCTATACCATGGCTATGTGAGTCATAACCAGAGGGTAATTTTGTGGGGTTGGACCCACCGAGTTTTCCGATGTTTTTAGTCCGATCGTGGGGAGGGTCCGAGCGGCTACCAGCTGGGATTCGCCACAAGCAGGATCCCAACCACCTACCCATCAGCAAATTTCCCCATCCAAGTAATGGATTTATCCGTGCACTGGAAATCTAAGGTCAGTCAGTCAGCACATGGTTCATTCATATAAAGTTTGAATAACATAACATCATTTAATTATATACTAAATGTTGGAACGGTTGAAAATGATACACCCCAAAAAATGGATGGGAACTTTCTCAAAAATACAACCTCGGTGGACCCATCGGTACCCTCCCGAATTTGGAACAGTAGCGAAATTAAAAACCCGGAAGCAAAGATTATGCGCAGACACCCCGTGTCGCCCAACATCAGGTTTTAGTGTTTTAGGGTTTTTGCGTTTATGTTTTGAGGTTTTGTAAGTTTGATTCTTTTTTTGGGTTGGGGCTTATGGTTTAGGGCTGTAGGGTTCAAGATGATTTGCGCAACGACGCTCAGTTCCCCTGCCTAAGTTTTTGCAGGAATGCCAGAATGAGACATTTTTTTTCCGTGTTTTGAAAGTGCCTCGGGCGAGACGAGGTGTTTGACTGTTCTAGTATCAAAGCAGCTGCTCTGAGGAAGAAACAATTCCAAGACGTGCAAGCCTCAGGTAGTCCCCGAACTTGGGAGCGTAGCGTATCCTGGTTTCACGCAGCAAAACAACAAGAAAAGACCGGTTTGAAGTTGGGAAAGTGGAGAGATTTGAAGGTGCCCAATTTGGGGAAGTGCCCATCCTGCCCCAAATTGCCAAAGATATGGTTTTCTAGGTTCCTACAAGACCTAGATAGACCTAGTTTGAACAGTTGGACCAGCAGTGTTGGGCACCGAATTCTGACTCGAGGCCGGCTTCGAAGCGAAGCTGAACTTTTGGAATGCGGTCTATGATTTCACGGGAAACAGCAAACATGCCAACTGGAGTGTGGGGACCTTGGTGGATGTCATGGGATCATCTAGAAGAAAATTGAAAGTTGCTTGGTTCCAGAAAGGCAATTGGTCTTGAAGAAAAACCATGGAATTCTTATCTGATAGCAGATGGAAATGGATGAGGATTTGCTCGTTATTTGGACAGCCTCGATACAGATGCTATCAGTGACCCCAAATGGATCGAAATGGCGTCCAGCCATGTTCAGTTGCAAGTTTATCCAAGCCTACGTCCAAGCTACTTTGAACCAATGGTACGTAGCGGATTTGTTCCGGCATTTTTTGGAACTGCGGATAGTTGGTCATTGTACCAGTCTTTGTGGATTTGGGATTGCTGAGGATGAAGTGTCCGTGAAAGCTGGGGTAGCAACCCACCTCCGATTTCCCAATCCCTTAGCCCCAGTATCGGATACCTCCCCGAAAAAATATATTGGATCCATTCATCTTGGGGTCCCTCTGAGGTATGATCGGGGGATTCGATTGATTTCGATTGCACCATCCATTTGTGAGGTCATCAAGTTTGAGCCCTACCCCATATCAAGCTATAGGAGGAAGCAGATAAGTATCAGGATAAGATAGCCCCTTTTTAAAAGCTGCAGCCGGATCTGAATGGGGTGCCTGAAATTTAAGGGTAACAGAGGACTGACAATGGGGTGCCACATTCAGTTTTCACACGATCCTTCAAACCACTGCAGTAGCCTCTGGTAAACATACAAAGAACTATGGAAAATCACCATTGTTAATACGTAAATCAATGTAAATCAACTATTTCTATAACCATTTTCAATAGCAAATTCCCACAAATTACCATTTCGGGGTTCATGAAAACTTCTTTGGTGCTCCAGATTCCAGCCCTGGATGAGTGCGAAAAGCTGGTCGTGACCTTTGAAGGTTCCAACGGCTCGGGGCCATGATTTATGGTACACGGGGCCGGGCCCCCGTTTACGATAGCGAAGTTCACCATGATTTATGGTACTTATAACATCTTATAACCATAGTTAATGGCAGTTAATGGGTTTTATATGGTTTTATAAAGAAACTTGTAACTGGGGGCCCCCACATTGCACATTATGCACATAGATTCGGGTACATTTATCCGAAGAATATTGGATGAGTGTATACGTCAGTATAATGACCTAACTGTGATGTCACTGGAGTGATGATTAGTAGGTGAATCATGCCCCAATGGAAATATTTCAGGTGTTTTCACATTAGTGAAACATTACAATTCAGCTAAATTATTCATGCACGACAGACATAGCAATGGCTCAACAGGTTGACAACTCAAAAATGATGTTCCCAAAAGAACAGGTGGTTAAGAAGCTCTTAGTGAATATTGGTAATTAATAAGCACTTAGTAGGCCCTTCGTAAGCCAGAGTGTCTATGATTCTTTAGCCATGTCTGAATCTCTTTGTATTTTGATGGTCGCAAGCTGCTTGCAGGTTCGGACGAAATACCAGAAGAAGCCACACCAGAGCTTACTCAGGCGAAGCCAGGAAGGTGAGGATGTGTATCACGTGGTAAACTCAATAATCAACCATTGGAACATATTATTTTTATGGGAATATCATAGGAATATCATGGAGATCTAATGGGAAGAATGAAATAACCCAATGTCATAGTCATACTCAAATTTGAGGTTGTCTAATTGGATATCTATACTTTATCAATTATACATTATGACTACAGCCCGAGAGTTGGTTAAGAATCCGAAAGCTTGAGGCCCAGGGTCCCCCAAATTCTTTTTTTAATGCAGGCGAATTTCCACCACAATAGGTCGAGGGTCCCTCAAATTCTTAGAGAATTCTTAGTTATGTATTGTATGCACCTGCGCAATTTGGAGCGAGGTTAAACGAGGTAATGAGGTGGAGTTGGCAGATTTAACAAGAGACATGCGAAAAAACATTTTTTTAGAGCCTGATTGTTTTTTTGCAAAGCCGGGCTTGTAACTGAGTTTCACACGGGCAGTGCGGAAAAACAATTTTTGAGGTCGCGAAAAAATGTTTTTTCGCAGTGCCTGGCTTGACCCCTTCAATGGGCAAAAACAATTTTTCAGAGCCTGAACAATTGTATTTTTGCAAAGCCGGGCTTGTCTGATCATTTGGTTCGGGGACAGAGAAAGAAGAGCTGCGTCTCATTTCTGAGGTTCACAAGGGGCCGTGCCGAAAAAAAAAAAATCAGGTCGCGACAAATGTTTTTTTTCGCAACCGCAACCCAGGCCAATTCCCACCCCCTTGCAGCCAGCGCAGAGAGAGAATAAGAAGGCAAAATCCTCTGGAGGCAAGGGTCCTGTAGCACAATGGTCAACGTTTTGGCTTCGGGCTTGAAGGTCGTAAGTTCGATGCCCAGAAGGGGCTTTGCTTTCATCAAGTTATCGGAAAACAATGTTTCAGATTCCCAATTCTATCCACATGTAGGTTTTGGGTCGGTTGGAAGCAGTCCAAGCATGTGCGAAAAAGCAATTTTTGGGAGCTTGAAAAGCTGTCTTTGTGCAAGGCCCGATTTCATCCCATAGGCCAGCGTCGCAAAGTTTCCTCCAAGTTATTGGTAAAACAAGGTTTCAGGTTCCCAAGTCTATCCACATAAAGATTTTGAGTGGATTGGAAGCAGTCTAAAGCATGTGCGAAAAAATATTTTTTCGGAGCTTGAAAAATTGTTTTTCTGCAAAGCCCGATTTCATCCCATAAGGCCATAAGGGGCCACTCCACAAAAGAATGGACCGCAAAGGTCCGCAAAGCGGAATTCCAAACCTCACGTATAAGCAGGATCTGGCAATCCTATTCCAGGGTCCCTCAAACTCTTAAAGTACTACGTGCTTGGTGTGGCTGAAAATATGTAGCCGGCATTGGATCCGAACCCCTCAAATTCTTTTACAGCGCATTCTTATACAATACCCAAGCTGCATTTTAAATTATAATTGTAGGACTATATCTGGTTATATCTTCTACTTTGCAACTTGTACAAATTTTACTGGTCTTCACACATAAACACATTGAAATTCACTCACTCACAGGCATTGTCTTGGCGTTGTTGTTACAGTATATGTCTCGAAATAATACTTCTGTAATTTCTTACATTGGATTTGCGCATCAGATACCATATGTTTCAACTACACAAGGCCTTGCTGTAACGTATCTGAAAACTGAAAATTCAACAGCATGAGTTAGACCAATGACTATGCACCGATCAAATGCAGATGCAGTGTCACAGCGCGTTTCAAAAGTCCGAACTAAAATTCGAAGGGAATGGCTGTGAACCGCCATGCTATGTATGGTTTACGAAGTACTACTATACCTATTTAATCCTATTTATATAATGTAACAATTGGATTATGCTTGGGTTGCGGTCTTCCAATTTTTTGTGCCTTCCAACATCTTCCCAACAGATAGTAGCACATGCAAACACAGTCTAGCGATTTTTTTCGCAAAAACAGTTGTGGTTTCGAACATCGTCGAATCTGTTCTGCAGATTGAGCCAGGCACACGAGCTCCATCAGGTGCCACAGACTAAGAGCATTGATTTGGAGCCTGGAACAATGGCAGGGCAACCGATCGGGAACAGTATCACCAAGAGCATCCTAGCGGCTTAGCAACCTGGTGATACCTGGTGCCTTGAAGAGTTGCTGAAGCATAGAGAGTGCCCTGGCAGGTTGCTGAGTTGCAGAGGTTGCCAAAGAGATGGCGATGTGTGGGTAGCCCATTGATTTATGGCAGCTCGCCTGGCCTGCTACGGGGAAAAGCATGATCGGGAAGCACGTGAAGCTGATGAAAACGCGAGACACCACTCGAAATAGGATGATGCAAGATGACCCCCGGATGGTCGGTTAACAAGATGGCTGAGTTTACCCTCTGATAAACATACAAAAATCTATTGAAAATGGCCATTGATAGTGGATTTACCCATTAAAAATTGTGATTTTCCATAGTTATGTAAACGTTTACCAGAGGGTATATATTATATTATTATTGGGTTTACCACATTAGTTTTGTTTGAGCATGGCGTACCCCTCAACCATCAGATGGTTTGGAAAGTAATTGTCCCTACTGAGATCGCCATACACAGGAGTGAGTTTCCAATCGTGGGACAAACCCGCCTGATATATGTCCATTGGTGACCACTGCAAAAAAGCTACAAATGAACCCACAAATGTTGCTGGGTACTTCAGTATTTAAACTATTGGACCATTTTCAGAGGGTGGAAGAATTTGAGCCGTGGCTATATTGAAACTTCCAACGAAGATAAGTTTGGCTCAGCCTTCAGATGCTTGGCTAGTGCTGCCTAGTGCGGCTAGTGACCATGAATGAGTTTGATAGCACTTATGCAGCATAATACTGGGCAAACTGACTGATTAATGGCTTTCATGTACAAGTTTTTAGCTACACGTGGAACATTTTGAATAGCCATGCACTTTTTAAAATCCTCTTGGGGATTGGATGTGTTTATTTTGTATTCAGATGTTCTTCCTCTTGAAATCGAAGAAACTTCGCAGGGGATTGAACCAAGAAACCAACCGTACAGGGAGAAGCCAACTATTTTATGGAGATAAGCAAACCATTTTATCGCTGTATAACCTCCGGCAGTCAAACGTGGCAATGGTCACCATAGAGGATTGTCCAAGCTAGAAACCTCCATTGAGTTCAGGGATTTCCCAGGAATCGCCATGTTTGACCGGAGCAGGAGCTGCTGGTGGCAGATCCCTTGGAGAGCAGCACTTTGGCGTGGTGATTGGAGTAAGCGTAGGGCCGTAGGGTTTGGGGAACGAAAAATGGGGATTGTAGTTGACTGCCCATATAGACAGCGAAAAATCATGGTTTTTGACTGTGATGATGCTTTTTTGGGGTAACTATACACATGGATCACATGGACTGTTTAGAGAAAGCATGATTGTTGTAAATAGCGGATTATATATTTATATACTTTTGTTGATTTAGATGTTCTTTTTCAACTATAATAATAAGGCGTTCTATATGGGGATGAGTCGAACCTACAATACTACTAATGGAGTGTATAAACGTTCGTTATACATTCGTTCATCAGCTATCTTACTGTTCGCCAGGGTACCAGAGTTTGACCGCCAAAATAGTTACTAATCGAATATGTACATATAGACATAGATATTATGATGTATCATGTATGAAATGCATACATAATACTACATTTCGCATGTATATATATATATGCTGTATGTATATATTATATACTAATGTGGTTTCTGGTGGCAAATATGTATTTCCAATAAAACCTCGAATGATACAGACATTTTTTTTCGCAATTGGTGGTCGCCTGAGGTGAATCGCATGGGCAGTCAGTGGCCAGCGTGCCGCAAACAAGGCGGCCGGTGGTGCTGTGAGAAAAGTTTTTGGGCCGGTGCTGGATAGGTGGGGAAGTTGGTCGATACTAAGTTGGTACAGTGTAAAACTAAGTGTACTCATAGAACTAGAGTTTGTGGAAGATATTTCTATATTTCGATGGGTTTATAGAGCAGCAAACAGAGCTGGAGGGCCACATTGATGTTATTCGCATTGAAGGCTCATGGATTGAAGGCTCCTTTGATGGAATCTGGATTTTGGGTACCCTGTAACTCCAAGACTAGTCATGACTAACTAACCATTTCTGGCAACAGCATCAAAGATAGGTGCTATGAGGGTCCATTGGAGTGAACAAAATGGCTTCAGCCCCCTATATTTGTTGTTAGTTGGGATATAACCTCTATTCACTTGGAGTCTCTATCAAAAAAACTGTAACCTCTGAGTTGGGATGTAACCCCTATATCACCCCTATACAACCACTATTCGATTACAACTGGCACTACAACCCGAAGTGGGCAAGTTGCGCCAACTTCAGGCCTCAAGCGCCCGCGAGTCCCAGCCCCAAACGACTGCGGCGGTGCATCTCGGATGCGGCACAGGTGCAGCTCCCAGCTGAGTTGATGGTCTTCATGATGGTTTTATAGATTTTCCTTGTGTTATTTATGATGGGTAGATTTCCATAGATTTCCCTTTGTTTTTTTGTTCGACTATTTTTTTTTTGTGGGATCATATTCTATAATTGAATGCTTTATAGCCGTTTTTTCTTGAGGCTGCCTAGACCCTCCGCTTATGCCCAAAAAAAACAATTGTTAAGGTACAAACGGAGGGTCTAGGCCTAGGTATGTATCTATGTATTTATTCATCATTTTTGGGTATTTTTTTGCTTTGAAAACTAGTCTCTGTTGGTTTCTGCTGTTTAGCATTTTAACGTATTTTAACTAGTTTTAAACCAACCAAAACCTCCGTTTGGGGGACCTTTCCTGTGCATTGTTGGGCATGTTGTGTTCATTATTATACCGCGACTTCATCACGAGAGAGGCTGCCACGAATGAAATTTGTCAAAGATGCCTTCTGTTCCGCACGGGGCTGCTGCTTTGCTTGGTGGCAATTCTAATGACACAAAACAGATCAATCCCGTCCCCCTAATATTAAACACCCCCTTCGAAACCATGGTTTAGTAGGGAATTTCCACATAATTGGGACCATTCAGAAGGTGTTTAATATTAGGGGGATGGGATTAGTGATGATCTTTTGGAATTGGTTATCAATTGTAGATGTTTCTGATTGGCGGTTTCCAATATGACATATCCAAGCATAGAAAAATCCCATCCCCCTAATATGAAACACCCCCATTGTATGGTTCCAATGGAATGTGGAATTTACCTACATTCACCATGGTTTCGTTTAGGGGGTGTTTATCAGGGGGATGGGATTAATAATCCCATATGATCATCATTTCACTACTCTTGGCATGGCTTGGAGACTACACCGTCGGAAGGAGATCAGTGGTCGCTTGGAGGCTGTGATGCTCTCGGAGCGTGAGGTGTGGGGTCGGGGTTGGTCGTTGCTGATCCCATGTTTTTTTGCCTAGACATATATACGTATATATTCAGTTATATTCATTATTCATTTATATATATATATATATATTCATTTACTTGTTCTTTGATTTAATATTACAGATATATTCCCCATGTCTGATATTGTTTTGTAACATCATATCGTGTGTACCTTGAAACTGTTCAAAGAAGAACGTTGAATCTCATTGCCATCTGAAAAGCCGTGAAAGGTGACGCACAGCAAAATGCTTCCGAAGAGGGGAGAAGAGGCACCAAAGTGAGAGAAGTCGATGGTAAAGCCCATGGATCATGGAACATCTATGGCTAGGATGAGTATGGGAGAAATGTATAGAAATGTGGGATCATATGCTGGTTGGTGGTTTGGAACATTTTATATTTTTCTATTTATTGGGAATGTCATCATCCCAACTGACCAAGTCCATCATTTTTCAGAGGGGTAGGCTCAACCACCAACCAGTATGGGATTATGTCAAAATTTTGCGATGGAATAGCTACACAACAAACCATCTCCTAATGATATCGGTACCACCCCATAGGATTAGCCTAGACCCCCCGAATCTGGCAGAATCTCCAACGGCCCGCAACATGGGGACCCCAAAACATTGATCAACCATGAGGGTACCTTTGAGACAAACCCATTTCACTCTTTTGTTGGGTTTATGTCAATTCTTCCAGTGACTTGTGTCTATATGTGTATTGGAATATATTGGTATTGGTCCTTTGGCAGTTCGAAAGCGGATTCCTGTCAATCTTTAAGATTTTCTTGGGTGTCTCCTGTCATGTTAAGCAACAACCCTAGAAACCTCGCCGTGGTGCGTGTGTGATTTTTGACCAATGTCCAGTGCACAATCTGGCTACGTGGATCCATCATCTGCTGATAAAGCTGCTTCAGATGAAACTGATAAGGTCGAGCTTCAGGTGCGGTGCTTGACTGGAGAAGGAGTGACACTGAGCGCCAGTCGCTCCATGCTTGGGTCTGCCCTGCGCAGGTTGGTGTCAGAGAAGCTTTCATGCAAGCCAGGCGCAAAGCTCGTCGTGCATCATGCGAATGGAAAGCCGACGCTGAATGAAAACTTGGGAGACCAAGGGATTGTTGGAAAAACCGCAGTACTGTCCTGCACTTACATACCAACTGAAGTGTATACAGCATGGCGTTATGCCTGTGAGCTCCCAAACTGTGAGAGAGAGTTTGCGCTAGAAGGTGTTACACATCTTGAAGGAGCAAACCACGGAGAATATTTACACCATCTCCCCTGCAGCCTTGCAGGCCTGACTTTTGGCGAGTATTTCGACCAAAGCCTGGAGCAGGTGACCTTGCCATCGACTCTTCAAAGCTTGAGTTTTGGCTGTTATTTCAACCAAAGACTGGAGCGGGTGACCTTGCCATCGAGTCTTCAACGCTTGATTTTTGGCCATTGTTTCAACCAAAGCCTGGAGCGGGTGACCTTGCCATCGAGTCTTAAAAGCTTGAGTTTTGGCAAGTATTTCAACCAAAGCCTGGAACAGGTGACCTTGCCATCAAGTCTGCAAAGCCTGAGTTTTGGCGACAATTTCGACCAAAGCCTGGAGCGGGTGACCTTGCCATCGGGTCTTCAAAGCTTGAGTTTCGGCAATTGGTTCAACCAAAGCCTGGAGCGGGTGACCTTGCCATCGAGTCTTAAAAGCCTGAGTTTTGGCAAGTATTTCAACCAAAGCCTGGAACAGGTGACCTTGCCATCAAGTCTGCAAAGCCTGAGTTTTGGCGACAATTTCGACCAAAGCCTGGAGCGGGTGACCTTGCCATCGAGTCTTCAAAGCTTGAGTTTTGGCCGCAATTTTAAGCCAAAACTGGAGCGGATGAACTTGCCATCGAGTCTTCAAAGCTTGAGTTATGGCTGTGAGTTCTTCGCAATTGAGCGGGTGACCTTGCCATCGCCTCTTCAAAGCTTGAACTTTGGCGTTAGGTTTAACCAAAGCCTGGAGCGGGTGACCTTGCCATCGGGTCTTCAAAGCTTGAGTTTTGGCGATGAGTTCAACCAAAGCCTGGAGCGGGTGACCTTGCCATCGGGTCTTACAAGCCTGAGTTTTGGCGACAATTTCGACCAAAGCCTGGAGCGGGTGACCTTGCCATCGCCTCTTCAAAGCTTGAACTTTGGCGCTAGGTTCAACCAAAGCCTGGAGCGGGTGACCTTGCCATCGAGCCTTCAAAGCTTGAGTTTCGGCGATTGTTTCAACCAAAGCCTGGAGCGGGTGACCTTGCCATCGAGCCTTCAAAGCTTGAGTTTCGGCGAGTGTTTCAACCAAAGCCTGGAACAGGTGACCTTGCCATCAAGTCTGCAAAGCCTGAGTTTTGGCGACAATTTCGACCAAAGCCTGGAGCGGGTGACCTTGCCATCGGGTCTTCAAAGCTTGAGTTTCGGCAATTGGTTCAACCAAAGCCTGGAGCGGGTGACCTTGCCATCGAGCCTTCAAAGCTTGATTTTCGGTTCTGGGTTCAACCAAAGCCTGGAGCGGGTGACCTTGCCATCGAGTCTTAAAAGCTTGAGTTTTGGCAAGTATTTCAACCAAAGCCTGGAACAGGTGACCTTGCCATCAAGTCTGCAAAGCCTGAGTTTTGGCGACAATTTCGACCAAAGCCTGGAGCGGGTGACCTTGCCATCGGGTCTTCAAAGCTTGAGTTTTGGCAGGTTCCGGTGTTTCGAGCAAAGCCTGGAGCGGGTGACTTTGCCATCGGGTCTTCAAAGATTTGGTGCTGTTTGCGGTGGCGATTTACCGTGCAATGTTTTTGTCAGTTGTGCAGGCTGTGCTTAATTTGTTTGACACGTCCCTCAACAGATATTCGAAGCAAAAGAGGCGTGCATTTCCCAATTGAGGCTGACAATCCCTGGGTGCTGGAGGGGACACGAACCTTCCTTTTTGTTCGCGTTCAGTCAGTGAATGTGGGATACTAATTATTGGAAATTACTATTGGAAGTCATGGGGATAATATGGAATTTTACCGGATAAAAAACATGAGAATTCTGGGATAATACGAGACTTTATGGGATACTATCGGAAAATATGAGACAAATGGAAAATTATGGGGATACCGTTGGGAAATATGAGATGGTCAGTGGAGTATGGGTGAACCAGAGGACCGCTTTTTTGGGGTGCGGCCCCTCTGGTAATGGAGATTTTGTTGGTAAAATCATCGAACTAAAATGGTGGAATGGGTGGTGACCGGAGGGTCAAAAAGGCCCCCCAATTTTTGACTTGACTGATCTGTTGTGTTGGTTGATGGTGATACCCTCTGGAAACCGATTCTGGCGTGGGAATCAGTTTGTTGTGAATGAAGAAATAACCTGGAGTGGAATTTCAATGAGGGATCTACCAGTGCCAAAGTATATAGATTACCAAAGGGATTCAAAGGGTATATCATACTTCCCAGTTTGATTTCAATACTTTGATAAGGCATGATCGGAATTCAAGATGCATCAACTACTCGTCATCGTGACGATTGGTCCACAGTGAGCTGTTTATTCCATGAATCAGATAGTCCTACACAAAGAATGACCACGGGATCAGCTTCTCTCAAAATCCATTTGGACTGCCCTGAGGATGGTGAAATCAGAATTCTGCTTGGTAAAAGATCCCTGTTTTCACTAAAACTTGGTATATAAACTTAATAACTTATGTCAGGGTCGCACTGTTAATTTACCAGACCATCAATTCATATGGGTTGTTTATGACACTGCTTTATTGAAATTATAGGTACTTGATGGTATTTCATGATCGCCGCCAGGAAAGGCAACATAATCCCCAATCCGAAGGTGCAGAGGCCGGAAAAGAAGGCGGACACGGTCGAGGAGGCTGCCGTGGACGCTGCCCAAGATACCTGGCGTTTGAGTGATTTCAGTCAAGTCAAGGGGTTATACATGTTTATGGCTACTTTATGCTAGAAATATGAGTCTTTACATGTCTTTAGATGGGTAGGAAGACTGTTTTAGTGTCTTTTCTTTGCTTATCACCAGTACATACCAGTACGTTTGGCTGCTATGTGGCTTAAGACAATCTTTGGTGTTGTAGAGCGTAGGGAAAAAAACAAGTTTGTCCCAGGTGCTTTTCGGTCTATTCTATGCCTGACTCCAGTGGTGACCATCAGGAGTATGTTTTTCACTAATTACTCACTGGTCGACCGGCTATGAAAATTATTTGTACTGGTAGTTAGAAGATTGGATGGAGAGTTAGAATTCCTCAGCCACAAACTCACTCATAGCCATCGCTAGCATCAATAACAAGCAAAGTGACAACAAGACAAAACAGAGAAATGATGAAAATGCTAGGAAAGCTATTCTCTTCCTCATCAGTATCACAGTACGTCATGTATAATGAAATAGTCTATATCAACGCCATTGTCAATATCAATATCAATAGATCAACATCGATATGCCCATCAACAGCGTCATCAGGCTTGCTCCGTGACCCTTGCTTTCGAAGGTGGAGATTCTCGACATGGATGAGAACTTGGAGAGGCTGTGAAGATTTGGGTCTCATTAGCCGGACCTACTGTTTCTTTGGTGGTTAACATGGTGAGAGATGAGCTGAAATGGGAGCTGAAGAACGACCATGAGGATCCAGAAGATATGGTTTCACCACGGTAACAACATTTGAATATATGCAGGGCCAGACCACGCGGCCCCGGAGGTAGTATGAAATACCAGTTCCGTTCGTTTTTTTTTAACGGCGGGGTGGGCCAAAGAAAATATTCCCGGAGGTGGTCCAAAATTTCAGTTCGTATATGTGCATATAGTTGTTAAAAAAATCAATCCGTATATTGTTACCGTATATATATATATATTGTTTCACTGTACTTCGGATGGAGCACTGAATATCAGAAACGACCTAGTTTTGTCTAGTTTATCTTTAGCCGTTTGAGCAACGCAGCGATACTCAGCCAATCGAAAATGGTAAAATGTGCCATAGTGACCATCAGGTTCACTAAAGCGCCACTGTCACCAAGAGGAAAGTAAAAAAACAGGCCTTCGGCCAGGACGACTCATTCATTGGTGGTTTGCTGCATCCCTACCACTTCTCCATGCTGGAATCAAGTTCTTCTTCAGGGAAGGGCAGCAGCCTCCGATAGCGGCAGTGATGAGGCCAAAGCTGAGCTCGGAAAGGGGCTTTGGTCTGAACGTTGCCCTAGAAGCGCTGACAGAGGTGCTTCGATGTCATGCACTGCAACGTCAAGAACGCGTTTGCGAACCGCTTTCTGCTGCACATGCTTCCGGACAGGCTGTGATGTCTGAGCATCTGCCTGGCGTGGACGTCATCTTTCGTGACGATACCTGACGACAAAACCGCGATAGGATGGACTATCTGGTCGATGCGGATGGCAAAACGATTATCCTGGTGGTGTTCAGCATCAAGGACCATAGATTGGGAATCTGACCATCCATGTTTTGAGTCAATATTTGAGCCACCATTTGTAGGGTTAGTGCCATCCATTCTTGACTAAAAATATTAAACTAAACCATAACACCTTTGTGTGACCCAACCCTCATGTTCCCAGAATTGGGGTGAAAATCAACGGCACACCCCAACCAATTTGGAGCGAAGTCTTCGGTGCTGTCCTGTGGCCAGGCCCCAACAGGCCAAAGACCTGGCTTTAGGTGAGCGGGGCGCCGTCGGCGGCGCCTCTTTGGTGGGACAACCTCAAGATATATTGATTTACAGTGCAGTAGATTGTTGAGTGTTGGTTTTCAGCATGTTTAACCTGTTATTTTAGGTGCCTGATATTGCTGATATTCTATGTTTCTCGGCATTGATAGAGATGGGGGCTTTGCCTTGGGGAATCGTCCCAAAAAGATGGTGGGATGTTCCCTGACTTGCTGAAAATGAAATGGAATCTCAAGTTGGTGGTTCAACAGAATCTAGCACGCTCTTTTTCACACTGCTGTCTTGATCCAAACCCACATGGACTATCCCAGAATTTCGTAACCACAATGTGCCTCTATTTTTCACTCAACACGTGGAGGACATAGCCATGGTGACCAAGCCATCAAACAATGTTTGTTCGAGGTGTCTTAAAGACAATTTTTTCGACAATGAAGATAACATTTTTGTGGAAACTCACCTACTAACTGCCATGGATGGCCTATCGCAATCAGCATTGATATGGGGTTGGGTCAATACCTATTAATACCATTTTTAGGGGGATATTCACATCCATTTACCGGCTATTTTGATGCGAACTACAGGGGTACTATTGGTTTTGACACACTGCCATATACAGCAATCAACATCCAACATGGCCACCATGCACCGGGACAGGTCCGACAGGTTCTTGCACTGGATGCCTTGGTTCCTCGAAGGCGGCGAAAAATGTGGCAAGTTGGGCCACTCTGGCGGCAGCAGATGGGGGGAAACCCATGACGTCATGGAGGTAGCCCTTTATCGCTGGATTATTTCATGGAACATCCCAACAGCTAATTGGATGAGAACTGGGGGTATCCCCTCTGACTTAGGAAGTCCTTTTTTTTTTCGAAAAACATATATCTGATGCTGGGGAAGGGGGAATATTGAGTCGCATCAACTCTCATGGTAATCAATGGGAATCAACTAGGATATGCTCTGAGAACAGAATCTGGTGGCTTATCACTTATCACCTAGTGAATGTTTGGAAAGTTAATACTGCTGGGGTTTGCCGTACATCCAGAGAGGGACAGTTCCTCAGATAACAGACTTGAGAAAAAGTTGACAGTTCAATAAACCGAACATGTTCCAAACCCTGCCACGAATAACTTCTGATGCATGTCAGTGATATGTCTATTATAGTACCAGGTATGTGCATGAGTTGTGCTGCTTCAAGCAAGCGATGATTGCCAACTCATGTCGCTTTTAAAGCATGGGTGCAATCAAGTTCCAGCCAGGCACCAGGTTGGGGCTGGGATGTTTCAGCATGTACGCGTCGCGTATCACCAATTTGGTTGTTTCGATATACCGTCCGGTAATCAAACGTGGCAATTGAAAAAAAACTCTATAAATGGTGTTCAAATGGGAAAATCATCTATAAATGATGGTTTTTCCATTGCCATGTTTAATTACCAGAGGGTATGTCAATTTTTCACTCAAGACCTTTAGTGATGATGACATTTGACAACGAGTTTTTGGTATGCACGGCTCAACCATTCCACCTCAGGATGGTTTAGAGTGTGGGTCAAAACCCTGGTATCCCTATGAACCTCAAAATAGCTGGGATTGTTGTTGATGTTCATACCTCCCAAATACGGTATATTATACGGTATATTAATGTATATTATAAGTATAAGTGTTATAATGCTTAATGCATGATCATATGAATAATATGTGTAGTCGTGCATGAAACATGTTGGGTGTCTAAAGAAAAGGCCATCTCATGGTGCAGGCTCGCGCGGCTGCTTGGTCTACACCAGGTGCAACGCCGTCCTTGTAGGTTGATGATTGGGTAGGTTTGTACTATTCGATATCCTGAAAATTTTATGAACGGACATGTTTGGGATAGAAATGTGGACAATAACTGTACCAAGTATAAAATATACATAGATAATAATATATATATATTATCATATATATATACATAAATTTAATATAATTTATATGTTTATACATTATATCATATATACATATACATAAATTTAATATAATTTATATATTTATATATTATATCATATATATATATACATAAACTTAATATAATTTATATATTCATATATTATATCATATATATATGTATATGATCGCATATCCACTAGGCGATTGCACGGAACAGAAGCAACATAATATGTCTAACCATGGTCCTTTTCGTCTAGCCTGGGCAATACTGTCAATGGAGTATCTATGGCTGTGATAGGTATAGGCACAGACAGGGATCACCCCAATAATCCCTTCCCCTAATATGAAACACCCCCCAGAAACCCTGGTTTAGTAGGGGCCAGAAACGCATATTTGGGACTATACAATGGGGGTATTTAATATGTATTTAATATGAACGCGGGATGGGATATGATGGGATTGATATTACACAACTGTGCTTCCCTACCATTTCAGACTAGGCTTGGGCTCTGATCACAGGTGCGGGCGAGCCGCCAAATCGTTCCCGGCCACTTGGGGGCTTGAGGCGCAGCCACAAATGGCAACCCATGTAACTATGGTTGTTTCAGGGTGGGTGGTCCAACATTAATGTTGCCATGGAAAGACTCAGTCGCTGAGCCTTTCCACTTGTGAGGCTTCAGGGTTTCCAAACACCATACCTCCTGAGATCTGAGGTGGTCACAGGGGTCATCGAGACCGCTTGACATCGCTCTGAGCAAATTTGAACCACCTCAGTTGCAACTGGTTGATCATGTTACCCTCTGGTTATTTGACATATGCAAAATGGTTCGTTTATGTTCATTTTTAAAAAATAGATGACTTATGATGATTTACCTATAAAAGAGTGATGATTTTCCACTTCGCTATGTTAATCACCAAAGGGCAATAAGGAATAGGATCATCCAGGAAAAAATGACTTGGTTCAAGTAGGTGAAGCACAACGACTTGCCCAGATATTGTCCCACCTAGCCTTTCACCATCGAGTCACACCAGCTTGCGCATCGGTAAATATGGTTTTGTCTTCAGAAAATGGTACCCCTAAAGTGAGACACTAACCTCAATCCTTTCGTAGCTATAAATGGGGGTTGCATTATGTTGCATTAACATCGCCATATTTTGAGATAGATCAAATGCTCCTTGACATCAACCCCATTTAGATCGCATCAAATAGCCGCCATGGTTGCCATTTAAGTGAAGTACTATAACGATATCCGATTCAATGACTCCATACGAAAAATGATTGACCCACTGCTATTTCCAGAGGCTGATGTCAGGTGGTGCAGCAGCTGAGGTGCCACGGTTGCCACGGTGCCACGTGTCGTTGGAGAAACTTCCCAAAATGGCATTGAAATAGTTCATTATTGCGGCTTTTCCATCCACAATTCCAATTCTAGTGCGTTTCTGGGACATTCTGGTGGATAACAAGCCAGTTGGGGTAAAAAAAAATCACAGAGTTGCAGACTTTGCCACGGACACCGGACATCTTGGATTGGGACCTGCGGAACTGCCTCAGCTTCCAAGTCCCAGAAGAAATTCCCATCTTTGCTTGGGAAACCATTGGTGGTTTGGATGTTTTTTCAGCATCGTAAGCTATCCCTGAAGTCCCAAGGACTTGAACCATAGCCAGTCTATGTATCTATCTATTTCTATCTATTGACCTATCCATCCATCCATCCATCCATCTATCTGCCAGTATTTGAGCGTGGTTTCTGACCTGTTTTTAAGCCTGGGAGACGCGGTAAAGTTGGTGGAAGATGGTGTCAAAAGTGTATGTCTTGCCAACTGTAGAGGATTGACAAAGGAAACAATATAACTTAGGAAACGATATAGGAAAGATGGGTTAACCTAGGAAAATCACAGTTTATAATACAACAAGATGAGTTAACCTAGGAAACAATTGTTTTTCGTCGGCGGGTCCAAGCCTGATGAAATGTCAGCTTTGGACTCCCTTGGCCACGCTCCGCAGGCTGAAACGAAACCCAAGCGATGCAAGAACTGTGACTCTCTCAGAAGTGATAGCGGGATATCATCCACAGTGGAACGTGCTTCGTTCTGGCCCTACTTGCAATAAGGGCCCCAAGATAGGTAAGTTGATTTTGAACCCAAATAATGATCAATAACTATGATTCATGCGGGATATGTATGCATATATATATGTATTATATGCTCACCCTCCTCCCACGACGTCATCTTACCCCACTGCCAAAATTATCCACACTTGTATCCGTATACATATTCTCTATATATATATATACACATACACATTTATATATATATACATACATACATACATACAGACATACATACATACATACATACATATAACATATATATATATATGCACATAATATGTACATATATACACATAATATATATGTTTATATTTATATACATAATATATATATACGTAATACATATATATATATATACAATATATACGTAATACATACATATATATATATATATATTTACATAATATATATATACATAATATATATATATATATACACTTATCTACAGTTGAACAGATTCATAAACCAACTTATAGCTGGAGCGCCTCTTTTTGCGGATATTTGTCAAAATCGCCAGCAGGAATCCAACCTCTGCATCCCCAACCAACTGGATAGGTAGGAAATAATCCTTTAGGTTTTGCTACGGATGGATAACCAGCCAACCAGCAAAGAGATTGACCATGTCTATCTTGTTTTCAAAGTGTCTACAACACACTATATAGAAATCACAAATATCGCCATAGATGGTTTCTTAGAATGATATGTTTTCAAAGTGGTGTTCTGTGCTTCGAGGTTTTTGTTAAGGACCTCATGGCAGCAATGTGCCGCGGTATCCACAACAATTTCTTTGTTTAGCCAGGTATACCATAGGATGGGAGGCCGGAGTTTTGAGAGAACAATGATGGATTAAATGATTCAAACTTCACTTCAGGCTTCATCAAGCATCGGACTCAGCGGTTTGCCCCTGAGGCGACAATACTGGAATCCATTTCCTGGGGAAAACCTGCACCTGTCCTTTCGGAAAGAAGGCGTGTGGATGTGTGTGTTGCATGTCTACATCAATGGTGAAGTGGAATATCTTGTGGGCCGGGTTTTGATAATATAAATAATCCAAGGCCCCTAATATCCCTGTTATTATCGGGGGGGAGGTTTTGTAGTAGGGGGAAAGGGTTTTTTTTTAACAGGTTTGAATTGACTATGCTTACCCTCTGGCAATTTAACATAGCTATTGAAAATTGCAGCTTTAAAGTTGATTTACCCATTAAAAATGGTGATTGTCCATAGCTATGTTAGGGTACCAGAGGGTAACTGAGTAACTGGCGTAACTTAAGATTTACCAGCCTACTCTGATGGATGAAGACAACACCTGGCCCATTTGCTGAGCCGGCATGGAAATACCGGACGGTTCTGCAGCGGATGCAGGCTGCAATTGGAAGTTCCCCCGAAGGTTCAAACCATATCAAACCCTACACCAGTATCATCAATTTGGGTGGGGTTGAGGTTATATAACTACTAATATATATATATACTTATAATATATCATATATATATATATGTGTGTATCAGCTACTAATGGTTGAGGTTATTCCGTTTTACTTCATTTGTCCAGTCATTAGCTCTGTCCATTCTCGGGGAGTTCGCTGAGCGTGGCACAGATCCTCAATGACAGCAGCGACGAGGATATGATCTGCGCGGGCACACGGAGAGCTGACATGGCTATGGTGAATCACCAGTTTTAGCAGGTACATCATTCAACTAAATGGGCCATGTTCCATAGTTTTTTTGAATAATTCACCAATATTCACCAATATAATGACGATGATTGGTTCAATAATTCACTAAATTGGTTTCCATAGCTATTTTGAATATCAAAAATGATGATTCAGCAATATTCACGTAGGTCATGGGCTGCCTGAACAAACCCATTGATGCAGGTCATGGGCTTCAGCCCTTGGGAAGGTCGTTCCAGGAAGATGACGCATCGGCCACGGGGTGAATGTTCCCCTTCCGTTTGGATAGACACACCAAAAGCTGCGGTTTGGAAGTCTTTGAAAGATGATGTGACTGTGAATTTAATCGTTTAATCTGGCTACATTTGGAATCTGCCATGAAAAAATGATTGAACATGGTGTAACATATAGATATGATATGTATATCTATAACAATATATATTTATATTCATTCACATCCAAATAAGATACAAGAAATTGAACCATGATTATATTAGATATATATATATATGTGTATATATATATATGTATATTTCTTTGCACCTGTCACTCTGATGGCCTCGCCATCTTGCCTTGCTGAGTTGCTCCGAGAGCTGCCAAAGGAAGCAGCGAGGCCACGGGGGCCACGGGGGCCACTGCCAAAGCCAGCAGTGCAGCCGCCAGGCGCGTTGGGGAAACCGCTAGGGGGGATCAACGGTTTTGATTTGTGGGATTACTATCAAATATGTGATAATGACAGGTAATTTATGTACACTGTTAGTATGTACACTGCTATTAAGTACACTGTTCGTATGCACATTGTAATAAGGACAATTATCATATTAATTTTAATAATGATTTTTTTAATCATTTGGTGATCATCACATCGCTAGTAATAATGGTAGAACCAACGATAATGATAATGATTACATGATCTGGTTGGTTTCAACCCATCCCGAAACTATGCGTCACTTTGGGTCATCATCACAAATGGGTCTGAAAATCAACGAATGCTGAAACCACAAATCAGTAACAATATAATAATTAATGATGAAAAAACACTGATAATAATAACCCAACTATGGCCATGATTCAATTATATTTGATAATGGTAATAATCACATAAATCAATAAATGCCATCAGTCATTATCCCAAATAAGTAACACACCCTACGTAGATAGATAGACATACATACATACATACTAGATATCTTGATTAGCCATTGGATACCGGGATGCGCATACACCTCGGTTGGGTGATATTCGAAGAAATTGTGTTTTGCTATAACTGTCGATGAGGAGAATAATGAATATATTCATGTATAATATGACATATCCACTGGGTGGTTCATCCCAGTTATAAATAGTGTGTAAGTATGTGTAAGTTTATTATAAGTGGAATGAAAGAAGTGGACGATTACTTAGATCTTCGTGTTTGCTGTGGGGGAGTCTTACGGGGAAACTGTTTCGAGGCTACCTGGGTGATCGAGAAGGGATGCTCAAATCCAGGTCGATCAGACAATTTACAGTAAGCCTCTACTGGTTGGTGGGTTTAGATATGTTATGTTGATTGTTTTTCAACCATACCAAGGATGATTTGGTTGAGATGACGAGCATGTTTTCGGGATGGGTTAAAACCACCAATCGGTCTATATTTGGGGTACAAACATGTACAAACCAATTCATGGAAACAAAATGGTTGAGTTGTACCATTGGTTTTTGTTGGGAATAAGATGAGGAGGTGGAACCGCCCAAAAGTGGAGTTATTACGGGCGACTTACAATGGATTAGCTTCCAATAGATCATGAAATGCTGGAGTTGGACATCTTCAAGTGCAAAGACGAAGGAC